CGACTACCCAAGGGTAATGTGGATGTAAAACAATCCAGTAGTGTTTACCTGTAGACTGGTCATGGAAGTGCCATTTTGAAACTCCAGTCTGAAGAGACACCTTACTGTCTGCCAAGAATTCAAGCATTCTGTCGTTTTTGTTTTGTTTTGATCGCTTTGCTTGGATGAGGAAACTGATGAGTCACCACAGACAGCTTCTCTTCGGTTGATCCTTCACCACATCTTGCTTCATGTTTGTGTCGGATGTTACACTTGCTTGTGTGAGCCCAAAGAAAACGCTTGAAAGTAAAACTGGAGGATGTGTTCTTCCATTGTTCTTCCAAAGGAAATTTCACATCAAATCAACAGAGTTAACAAATCATCTCCGGCATCTTGGTTAAAAACAGACTCTCGTCACCCAACTTTAGTGCTGCCTTTTTCTGGTTTTCCATTTTTTCTAAGATGAACGCAGCAGATTTGTCACAAGCTTAGCTAAGCACAGGAGGAGACGTGATGCGTAAAGACTCAAAATAAGTCTTTTTTGCCTCTGCAGTGTAAATCATGACTTAATATGTTAGAAATTGACCCCCTCCAAAATCGTTCCAGCATTTGCATCTAAATAAATGTTCCTTTTCGGTGAGCAGGTCAACAAAAATGAACCCTCAGTCTCTCAATGGTGTGTGCTTAATATTCCCGAAGGATCCATAAATCTGGACATATTCTATTCAAGCCATTTCAGCCACATTTATTTTTGCTATAGATTGAAATGTCAACGCAGCCTCTGCTAATGGAGTGCCCTGTAAGGTCACCCTAACAAATCATCATACGCTCTCCGGTCGCATTCTGGGCTGTTCCCCTACCCACACTGGAGGCCTTTTCGTGCTTCACTTCGGTAATTTGTTCTGTGCACAGAGCAGATGTTACCCCAGCCGGCAGAGAGCTCTGACTTTGGTGCAAGACAATCCAATTCCAATGATTTTAACAGACGCATTATCAGTGTTCTATGTGTGTTTAATCTGTGGCTAAAAAGGACGTTTGGAAGTATTGATAAATAATTATGTCACTGAAATGCATTTCTAATGCTCTCTAATGACTTCTCGGTGTTACAAAGTGCAGTATCTACAAGAAAAGTCAATTTGTTACATTTTAAAGACATATCCACAATGCTTTCTTAATACTTAAGAATGTTTTTATTAACTCAATTAAATATTTATAAAACATGAATAATTTATTATTTACTTTGAGGCTGATTTGCTTGTGGACTCTGTGTTAAAAATGCACGTCAGTCACTCAGAAAGTCAGTCAGTGTTTCTGTGGAAATGGGGGAACACTATGATATTTCAATTCAGATATATAACTTTGTAGAGCTTAATAAGCAACCAAGGAGACAAGAAAAGAGGGGCGTTCTCACTGCCTTGTCAATAGTTCAAAACAGCATGACCAATAAACTAAGCAAATCCCACCAATCTGTGCAAATAAAATAACGAGTATAAAGATACAAACCTGTTCCTTCATGCATTACTGTCAAGAAAGACGAATTCACTTTCTTAATATCTTGGAGCATCAATAAGATTCTAACCTGACGGATACTATATTCTTGCTGAGTGTAAGAACTCTCTCTGCGACTTGTCTTGTTTCTCTCCCAGCAATTTCACTCTTCTCTGATTGCTTGGTTATTAGTGTAGCACTGTTGCCACGACAATGAGGAGGGAGAACCAGATGTGCTGGTATCACTCTATTCATCCAGGAAAGATGCTGTACAGCATACAGGACATAATATCACCGCAAATGACTGGAGGCACAGGGAGAGAAAGAAATCCTCTGAAGCATGAGGCTCTTAAACTCAGAACTCAGATTCTTCTCAGGAGGTGACAATGCTTGGCACTAGACTGATGTTTGATTGTTTCTGAAGATCAGAATAGTTCCAATCAACACATTGCTGGCTGACCAGCTGTTTGGACAGTGATAAGCCCATGAACCTTTGGGTTTTGGTGTCAGACCTCAAATGATACAAAATGATTTTGTTTTTCTGTCGACTGAACTGGTGCCACTTGGGAAGGCATTGTAATTCACTGTAGCGTTTGAAAGCTTTTTTCTTTGGCTGTTTTGATTTAAAAAAAAAAACACAGATTTGGTAGCAGATATTTTACTTGAAAATATTGTATGTACTGTAGTAGGGCTTATCTTCCAGTCCTGATACTACACATGTTCCAAACAAACAGAACAGAACAGAGGAGACACAAACATACCATACCTGTATCAGTTAATGTGACCGTCTACAGAGGCCCCTACAGAGGTTGAAAGTTGTACGACAGGCACAGATGTGGGGTAGTCTACCAGGACATAACTTTTATTGAAGCTCTTTTAAATTTGACAAGGCCTTGTCAATAAAACAGCCATATTGATTTTGACTATGAAATACACCCATGAATATGTACCACATTTCCCTTGAGGGCATCACACAGTCGTACATACGATAGCTTTTCATTTCAAGTTTTTTTTTTGCATCACATTTATAACAGCACAAGAAGCTATTGCAAGAGTTTAGCACTACCACCACACTACAGGAGAACAAAACACTACACAAAAGCAACAAACTCACGACATGGAAAAGAATAAGGAGTTGTACTGCTTCTTTTAGATGATGTTATTTTTGTACCAGGTCTGTACAAGCTCCACGGCACATTTCATCTTTTACACTTGGAACAAGACAGACAACATTATGTCACTTGTATCGGAGACATCAGAGGAGTACATTAACATAAATAACCTTTATGACCTATAATAAATTACTACTATTATTATTCCTTATACTTATATAGTGCTTTTTCAGACACCACTCAAAGCTCTTTACAGGTAATGGGGACTCCCCTATCCCACTACACTACCATCCCCACCTGGATGTGCACCAGTATGCTCACCAAACATCTGCTATCAGTGGGAAGAGAGCACAGTGATGAAGCCAACTCATTAATGGGGATTCTTAGGTGGCCCCGATTGGTAAAGATCAGGGGGAAATGTGACCAGGACATCAGAGTTAACATCTCTATACCCCCCGTTCAAGATATAGTAGGCTTGTCAATGTACATTTTTTTTGTCTGAGAATCCCAGGATTAACAGCCTGAACTACCTTTCCAGCCATGTTGTGGAAGCTGATATCCTGACTTCTATCAAGAAGCTGATAGTTGAGATCCTTGGTCAAATTAGATGGTGTCCTCTCATCTGCAAATACTCTAATATTGTTAATATTCCCGCCAACCTGTATATTATTGATCATAGTTTTCTCTATATTCTTCTCTTCACCTTTTTATGGCATCGTCATATTCCACAGGGATTTTAACAATGCTCATGTTAATGCACAATACCTGCAAACCATAAAATTATAGACTGGGCACAGAGAACAAAGGGATGAAGAGGCAGCCTCTGGGGAAAAAAAGTACTCAGGCAGTTTAAACCAGTAATTTTCCACTGTAATCTCAGTGCATACAGAACAACACTAGACTGATTTTGCATACAGCATATGCTTTTATATATTTCATAGGCTGTTATCACTTTGTTGAATTTACCTGATCATTTTCTACTCTCTGCAAGAAAACTGTCAAGGGTTAAAGGGAACTTTACCCTGTCTGAGTTAGCTGTTTTGCACCAGTTGCTTTAAACCGGTTGCTTGTTTGTCTTTCACAAAGTGGTTCATGAATAGCGCGCTGAAATGCAGTTTGGCAGAACACATTTTGGCTTTTATTCAGAATTTTAAAATCAGACCTCTCAACAGCGATCTACACACACAATTCAACACGTCTCGTCTTGTGCTGCTCGCTACCTTTAGCATGTCACATTACAGCGGAAACAAAGCAACAAAAAAAAACAACTGCAAAAAAAAAAATAACACCAGAAATGCCTCAATGCCTCATTGGATTTTGCTAACCCTGCCAAAAAATGTAAGCATTGTGTCTTAGAACTGAAAGCTGCTTTACATATATTCCAAAGGTTAAATTTTGTGGAAACTGCAAGGTGGTTTAATTAAACTTTGACTAGGTTTTCATGAGGAATGCAGTGCAGTAGTCTTATCTAGATATCGAAATCTTTTGAATGTGATGCCCCATACTAGGCAATTCAGTGAAATGATTACATACAGCATTAACACATTAATCACTCCAACAGCTGTGATTAATTAACAACATTCAAGCAACGGGAAGGAAAGATTTTTCACTTCAGGTTACTCTGTGCTTGAAATAGACCTCCTCCTCTCCAGCCTCCACCAAGGCAACAGCTAATGCATACAAGGTGCCACTCTAATTAGTAAATGATGTTTAACACTGTACACTGAACCTTTATACCGATAAGCTGTCTATGCTCAGAAAAACATTTTTAATTACATCTTAAACTGATAATTTCCCTATCTCAAATACCAAAGGAGTCATCTCATTTGGCCAGTAAGGATCAGAATATTATTCATTATTTGCTGTGTATTGTAACCTAGTCTCAGAAAGCCAATTCATTTGATAGAAAATTATATATTTCAAAAATAGCCCAGAAGCTCCCAGTATTTTTTACACAACTGTGTTGAATCAAGGCCTGCGGAAACTCCTTAAAATGAGAGACTCCAGCTTGCTTTTCTATCCAGTTTCAAATCAGTACTGTCTGCGGTACGTCTGCGAGGAAGCCTTCAATAGCAGCCCATTTGTATTTAATCGCTAGCGAATTACTGTTATTGTCAAAGAACTGCTAATGACTAGTGTTGCTTCAGTGGGCTAATGGAGTAATTATCAGCTATGTGCACAGGGTGTGTCTCTTCGACTGCACTGTCATGGTGTACATACTCCCAGCATGGTGAAACTCCAGCATCTTTAATTTACTGGTTGGCTGTGGTTGTAAGTGTCATGAGTGCTATGATATTCACTTTGAAGAAACCAGTAATGGCTTACTGGGTGGCACACTGGTTAGCATTGCTGCCTTGTAGTTCTGGGGCCCTCAGCTCAATTCCTGAGGTGCTATCTGTGTGGAGCTTGTTCGTTCTCTCTGTGTTTGTGTGAGTTTCCTGGGTTTTATGGTTTCCTCCCACAGTCCAAAGACATGCTGGTGGGTTAATTGGCCTTTAGGAAAAGTGTGTGCTCCTCCAGCTGCTTTGTGTCTGAAATGGAGGTGTGGAGCTTGCTGTGCGGCCCAGGAGGAAGGGTAGGTTATAGAAGCATGTTCACCCTTTGTCACTCTCCCCCTGTGAAGCACGTTGGCTGTTGTTCTGAGCCAAGACACGGAAGAAACAAAAGAGGTAATTCCAAATCAATGGGTGTCAAATGCCAAATGCAACATCTTGTTAAAAGGCTTGGAAACACGATTTGAAAAACTTCAGAAAAGGTTTGTGGATGATGGATTTCGAGCACGCTCCTGTTCGGAGCTCCTGCCCTGTTCTGTTAGGAGATCTACAGCGCAGCTTCCACAGCGCTCTGCTGCCTGAACAGATGGAAGAAAGAAATGGATTTCCTCTGCTCACTCCAGATCGGCCTCACCTCTCACTCCCAGGACACCAACAAACAGCTGAAGCTGTAGGGCAGAAGCAGGCAGCTTTCATATTACTCTTCTCTAGATGTCAGCATCTGTTTAATGTTATCTGAGTGGGGGACTGGACAAAGGGGTAGAATAGCTGAAGAACAGAGGTGCTTTGTGAGAAATATCTGAAAGGTTCTTGTTGAAATGTGGATATCTGTGGATCATTCGGCATCGAACCTTTAAGGATTCCTGGGCATCTTCATTTAGAATAGATACTGGAGCTGATTACACGCTACCGGATACACACAATACTTTTGTATAAAAAACAGATTCCCGTTTCAGTCCGGAATGATCATTTTCTTACCTTCCTCTTGTGTTCGAGGGTCATTGTTTTACTAGTGGCCCTAAAGAACTTCCTAGGTTGTCGTTGTAAACCAGTAAGCTCTGAAAACCAGTATCAAGCACCTTTGTGGGATCTTTTGTATAGGAAACTTACAGTGAAAGTGAGAGCTCCTTATTAACTCATCCAAAACTTAAATATTAAAGTTTAAAACTGCTTACTTTCCACACAAAGAACTGTCGGAACACTTTTGCATGCATTTGGTGAGAAAATATTGTTTACTCACAAATGCACTTTCTTTTTCTGTGGTGTCTGTTTGCTCTTCAGTCTAACTAAATAAAGCCAAGCCCTTTCACACACTGGAAAGAGAACATTACACCTTTGTAAATTAATCTAGATAGGTTTATAATCTATTTAAGAATTTGCCTTGGTTTTCTCCACTTTAAATTCCTCACTGCAATTTCAGTAGATTGGTATTTTCCTGGAATGACCTTTGTACCAATATCAATGATGTGAGGGGTGCTGTACATTGCTGGAGAGGATTGGGACTGTTTGAAGATGTTCAGGCTCTCAGAAGAGCCCAGCTTTTGGGTTCTTGTTGAGTCTCATGTGCCCTCTGGAACAGTGGGAAACCTGAACCCCACCCACACGCCGAAGAATTTAGTTCTCATGATCTCATTCATTACATCTGACTGCAGATCCTTCCAGCCATCTTCCAGCTCACAGCAGGAATGTGTTTATATAAACACTATCAACCCATTGTTCTTCTAAGGGAATGTGATTATTAAGTAAAGGCAATCATTGTCTATCTGCTGGCATATACTGTACCAGCACTGACACACAGATTTACATAATCAGGAACTTTTACAAAACCATGCATTTTTATAGATAACCTTATGGAATGTAAAATAGCATTGTTTTTCTCATTTTGGTAGTGTTTTTTTAAATACCATTGCAATTTGCAATTTTCTTAAGCTGTTCATGTCCTCTGCTCTTTTGTTTAATGTTGTTTTTTCTGTTAAAGGTGTTTGCTATGCCAAAAAAAATGCTCCACCTAGAAAGGTCTCTTGGAAAGCCTGCTAAGAACATGTTGTGGGTGAATATTATGTAATTAAGCCTAAACCAAACAAGCAGTTTGCATACATTGTACACAATGGCTAAAAACAAAAAGTGAGCCTATTGCTTGGGAAGATCTGTTTTTGTCTTACAGCAAAGTAGAAGAGAGCTTAAAGCCGACGTCACACACCACGACTTGACACCACTTCTATTCGTGGTCACTAAAAGCATTCTATTCGTGGTCACCAAAACCTATTGCTTTCAAATTGTTTTCATTGTAAAATACGAGAACATAATGTTTAGAAGGCAGTAAAGGCAACTGAAAGTATCTTGCATGTCTGGCTGCTGGTAGCTTTGAGCCATGAAATATCTCACAAAGCCATTTTTTGAAGAATTATTAGGTGATTTGTCGCAGAAACCCACCACTCTTCTTGTAGAATGTGTCATATTTCCACAGTGCTTTCATTTCATTGCTGGACTTCAGGCCTGTCAGGATTTGAATCACATTCTCTTCTGTCTTGGACTGAAAAGATTCACTTCCCTAAAACGATATAAGATATGTCTTTCTCAGTATGAACACGCTCCTGAATGTTTCTATGTACAGTTTTCAATTTATTTCTTCCCTGAGTTTTGCTTTTTTAAAGTTGAAGTCTCTACTAGCTTGTATTAAGAATATTTAAAAAAAGGCATGAGTTAATTTTCTTGCTTCGTAATGTCCCCTTCATTCACTATGGATAATAAGAGAATATAATTTCAATATAAACAATGTTCTGCTGTTGAAATTGTGACTTGTTGACTTATAAAGGTGGCCACAATGCACTTGAAGATCTGGGATGTGACTAGTTGTGCAACACAATGGAACAACAGCAAAACAGCAGAACAGTCACTTCTGCTTTGAATCTCTCACACTGGGTGTGAAGCAATTTAACAACATTGCAAAAGCTTCTTTTCGGCAACAAACTCTGTGTTCTCATCACTGTAATCCACCCCTTGGTTATCGTCCAGGAAACAATGTATTTTCTGATGTGTGCTGCCCAATAACTCCTAATATTTGCACAAAGGGAGAGAATTCGGAGGTCCCTGCACAGACAGTGGAAGGATCCGAAACGGGATAATCCTGGACAGCTACAGAGGATTTAAGGAGCTTTGGCTAATCTTTTAGCTGAGGCACCTGCCATGGCCCTGAGAACAGTAGCAAGCAGGCTGCCGCATTCCAAGGGCCACAAACTCGACTATTTCTCTGAGCTCTAAAGAAAGAAAAGTAGTGGGCTGACATATTCGCCAATATTAATGTCCACCCTGAATGCATATTCATAAAGCAATGAGTTTCCATAAGACAAATTGGCTAGCTAGTCAATATAATTAGTGTGTAGTGTGACTAACTATCCAGTATAAGTAGTTAGCCAAGTCCAAAAAAAAAAACACTGCTGCCTCAGAGAAAGAGCAAAATAAGTGCAAACTTAAAAAGGGAAACCAAATGAAAAAGTGCAAATGTATATGTATATAGTGTATGTATTTGACAGGAGTATTACCACCTTGCAGTCTGACCTTGTCACATTTCAGAGGTTAAGCAAACCTGGGCCTGGTCGATACTGAGATGGGATACTTCAAAGGAAAAACAGGTTGCAAGGTCACTGGTCACATGCAGCCGGAATGCAAGAGGAGGGAGTGCAACTAAGACTGAGATCAGGAAGCGCTTCAACACCAAAGCCTGGGGGAGTGTGGAACAGGCAGCCTTGTGTTGTTGTGGAAGCAGATTCCCTGGGATGCTCCCAGAAAGGAGTAGGTCATTGGTATCAATAAGCTGCTAGCAACTTAATAAGAAGGATGCTCATAACTGGAGTGTTGTGTTGTGAATTGCCACCTGCCTTTTGGCTAACTGTTTTTTGACAGTAACTCCACAATATTTCTCTGTTCACTTCTGGCAGTGGTGATATTTCACTTCAAAGGCGTGACGGCACTGCCTGTAGCCTGTGCTGTCAGCCTCAGACAGAGTCATGGCTCCAGTGTTCCGCAGAGTACCGCTTAATAAGTGATGGCGTACAAAATGAGCGAGCCCTTACTTCAACGTTTTAATCATGGATCAACGGCTTTTTATATTTCTCTTTTAATTTGTTTTTCTTTTAATACATAATGAACAGGGCAAAATGCAGAGCCAGCCTGCTAAAGGACATCACTTTAATCAGATCCATTCAGGCATTAACTCTGTTGATGAAACATGAATAATAATTACGTTAATAAAAGGGGATAAAAACAGATCCCCTCTAATAAAATTGCTTTTCTGTTACCTTCACCAAATTACCTGTCAAGGCAACTAAATTAGACCACAATCAAATTGCATGTCTTCTATCCAGAGGAGAAGTTAGGGTAATCAGAGCAAAGAAGCTGCAATGTGTTTTGTGACACACTGTCTACAGAATATTTCCCAACCTTAACCAGAAGACCTGAAAAGTGTGTGTGAATGAGATGTAGCTGCAGGCCTCTCAAGTGACTGCTGCAGTTCTGGTCTTTCCTACATTATTCTATACATAAAACTTCAACTGCTTCACAATTCTGCAGCAAAATTAAAGTTCTCAGCCGAGTGAGATCAACCGAGCAGGGCACCTGTGCGTGATGAAGCGTCTTCACAGGCTTTTTTGCGAAGTTTTGCAGTTTGAATTTTTGCATGGACTGACTCCTTTGTTTAAGTGCAAGAAAGGTGTAGGTTTCTAGAGCCAATGCAAATCATTCGGCTCTCCAAGTGTCTGTTACTGAACCCAGGAGACTTGGAATGTCCTTCAGAGATGCATCAACTCAGTCTTTTCTCTCAGCTTTTCATAGCTGATTTTTGCAGATGATCATATACATAGTGTAGATATTGCTTTTTCAAAGCTTAATAACTGTGTTACAAATACAGAGCTTGAATGGAGCATTTCATATGTAATGCTAATTGATTATGGTTGAGATGTCCTGCACATGAGGCTTGAGTGATATAGTACAGGACATGCACACAGGCCTCATTACTGAGAAGTATCTCTGAGTATTATCTGTTACCCTGCTTTTAAAGTCAACAAACACGCAATTCAATCTGCAGTTTAAAAATGGTACAACATGGTAGAGATGTGTGTGTGTTTGGGGTGGGGGCATTCTGATAGTCCTTAAGACCCTATTGAAAGGAATTGCTTAAAAAAGACAGCTAAACTCAAGAACCCCAAATTTATACTACATGTTACTCCAGGATGGAAAGGACCCACCCTAAGATGGGAATCTCACCCTAAACAGAATGGGAGTGATTAACAGAGAAGCATTGACGTAATGTGTGATCAGACACTGGGGTCCGATCATGCTGGTATGAAGTCACTGCCCCTGGGGAGAGTTTGTGGGCTAATGGATATGCAGAGACAGGGAGCCATCTGCTACTCAGCACAGCCTGAGTCACAGTCTGATGAACCTGAGAACGCAGCTCCTGAGGAGCCGAACAATACCTTTCAAAACTGCAAAGCCACCATACTTCATATGATCTCAGATCCTGTCTCTGCTGTGTAACGATGAACAGGCACAGTGCCCATCAGACTATTGGTTCAGGCTCTTTGAGGTAAGGTGGTTACAAAGCTGGAATGAAAAGGCAAGAAAGCACTTGGCCTCATACTGCTTGTAATGATCAGATGACTGAAGGGATGAAACAGACCAGACAGCGAGACAGCTGTGCTTCTCTCTTTTCTGGTAAGGTTCAGTAAAATCGGTCCAACACTTTCTCTGTTATAGACACAAGTAATTCGATTTTCTTAGATTCGAGATCAGGCTGGTTTCTTTTCTCTGGGTAGTGCAATAATGACTTTTTGTAAAAGAGCGCCTTAAGGTGACAGAAAACATTCAGAAATTTGACATGGTGGACGTATGGTTGTTCCTGGTCCCAATGCATGCAAAAAAAAGTACTTTAAGATTTGACTTTAGATTGCAAAATAAAAATCTATGGCTTTCTTATAGCTCTGTCTCTCATAAAATAACATTAGGAAGCTTTGACACAGTGAAGGTCATTTGTAAAAATAACCCCAGAACATTTTAAAAGTCACAACTAAAAACGAGGTTATCAAACAAAATGTTGTGCCCGTTTAAAACTGAGAACAGGAGGCCCTTCTTTACCCAAATGAGTGTGGCAGCCTGGACGTTGTCTGGACGTCCCAGTCATGTTGTTAAGGCCGACAACCTGGCGTCATGGATGTCGGGAAGACAAGCCGTGGAACGACAAGGAGAGCAGATGAGACCCTATCCGTAGCGGCAAAAGGGACAACATGGAGGTTAGCCCAGGCCCAGGGGGTCGGACGATGTGGGTATAGAAACCTACAGTATGCCCTCGGGCCATGGACGTGGGGTGACCTGGTGCTGATGGAACTGTTAAAAGCCAGGGCCCACTTGACAGTAAGAGATACGAAAGCAAGAGGTGATAATGGTCACAATGAGGAACACTCCTGTTGAAAACACTCCCGTGGAATTTGACAGATAACATGTCTGGAGTTTCTTGTTGGAACCCATGTGTTTCCATGGATATTGAACTATCTGCCCCATTAATCCATCTGTGGAATAATAGCAAAAATACTTTTGATTCTTTCAATGAATTCAATACAAAAGGGAAAGCCTTGGTGTGTACAAACGTATCACACAAAACAAAAGGTCAAGTGACGTCTTTTGACTTCAGAACAAACAAATGCATGATCCCTCCTAGAGAACGTTTCCACCGTGAATCATGGTGTAATATGTAATATGATGACGGGCGGAGCGGAGGCTCTGTGGCTAAGGATCTGCGCCTGTGGCTGGAAGGTTGCCGGTTCAAATCCTGCAGCTGGCAGAGGAATCCTACTCCATTGGGCCCCTGAGCAAGGCCCTAAACCCCAACTGCTCCAGGGGTGCTGTACTATGGCAGACCCTGCGCTCTGACCCCAGGCTCTCTCCCTGTCTGTGTGTCTCATGGAGAGCAAGCTGGGGTATGCGAAAAGATAATTCCTAATGCAAGAAATTGTAAAGGGTTAATGAAGTAATGTTATATATATATATTATATATTACCTGTGCAGGTTTACTGGGTCATGATGAAATCAAAGTAGAAGGATGGAAATCATAATGACTTTGTTCTCCAGAAAGAGGTAAATGCATAGGAAAAGCATGGTACATTAGTAAATCATCATGCAAATTGACTGAGCTAAAGTTCCCCAAAGGAATAACACTGACAACTCAGGGAAAAGAGCACATGATCATTAGCACAGAATACTGAGCTGAGTTGTATTGTACAGTGTGCTCGTTAGCTTCAGACTGTAGGTGTTAGTCCTCTGCATACTGTAATTAGGCAATCTCTGGACAAACATCTGTGAGATAAAAATATCACAGTAATAAACAGTTTACCCCTGACAGCAGCAGGATGTGGGCTGGCATAAAGAGGGGTGGGGTCAGGGGTAGGGAGCTGAGGGTTGAAAGGCAGACCTTTGCTTAATCGTTAAACAATGACATAATTAGAGCATGGATGAGTAGGCTGAGAACAGAACAAAGACATCCAATGAGAACCTGCTCTGCTTTGTTCCCTATTTGCTTTACACACTTATTCTGAAAACTCTGCCCATTGTTTAAATGGAATCTCTGGCTGCTTGGCGCAAATAGATCCATCCTGCCGCATTAAAATGAGTGCAGCCAGACAGCTCAGATCTTTTCAGCTCTCCTGCACCACTTGCCTGACTCATACTGTATAGATCTCCCTTCTGCAAGACAGTGTGCGTGAGGCCCTGCATTGCTCAGGAGTCCAGGTGACCAATTACTGGTGTGTTTGTGGATGCTTTGTTTTGTGGATTGTGTTAGTCAGAATTATGCTATAATGTCTAGGCTGTTTATTTTTAAGGCAACATAACTCTGTTGTGTCAAGCAAGACAAATAAAGTAGTTACAGTACTATAGAAAAAAATAGGACCTACAAACAATGTTCCAATCCTTAGTCATCCATTAATGCAGAAGGCAGTTGTCTCCCATTTTATACTGTAGAATAGAGAAAATGTTCTACAGAATACAATCTTGATTTTGACCCCCTATAGTCTGAGGGATAATGAAGCCCAAACTATTTGACATGGTGGACGTATAGTTGTTGCTGGTTCCAATGCATGCAAAAAAAAGTATTTTAAGATTTGACATTGGATTGTAAAATAAAAATCTACAGCGTTCTTATAGCTCTGCCTCTCATAAAATAACATTAGGAAGCTCTGACACAGTGAAGGTCATTTGTAAAAATAACCCCAGAACATTTTAAAAGTCACAACTAAAAACGAGGTTATCAAACACATTTAGTCTGAAGGCTATGGGTCCTTTATGTTCTCATTCCAAAGTCATGCTGAACTATTCACAGACCTTCAGTAGCATCAAAAGATTTGCCAAACACAGGAGCCTTGAAAGCACAGACTGTACTCATAACAATAAAACATATTTTGGAGAGCTGCTCATTTCTAGATTGGTTTGGAAGATAATACTTCAAGATCAATTCTGAATGAAGGTCACCAGCTATTTGTGCAGCATGGCAAGACCCAGATGATATTTTCAGCAACACGTGTCCTTGCTCAGACTCTCTGCAGTCAAAGGAGCTGGCTGGAATTCAAAACGAATGGAAGAGCCAATTCCAAGGTGTGAATTTGTGCTTGAACATGACAAGCCCACTGTATGAGTTTGGGGAGGGGAAGGAATCAGTAAAATTTCCTGAAGAATGCAGCTACTGTTGTCTTATTGGCCTCAAGCCCAGTTGTTATCTCAATGGACTCTGAGCGTCATGATGAACAAACATTGACGCTACATCTCTCTTTTCACAGGGACGTTAAATAGCTTTGCATCTGCCACCTCTGTCTCTTTCCTTCTACAAGTGCAGTGAAAGTTACAACTTTATCATCTCTGCTGCATAAAAAGGTTCTGTGATAATCCCCCTCTACAAAACAAAATTGATTACTAATTGCTTCTCTGTTTCCTTAGTTGTTTCAAGATCCTAGTTCATTTGGTTGCATTTAATTATTTAGAAACATGAAAATGACTCACTCTGCGGCAATATCCTGTTATGTTGTCTAAGCTTTGACCAGCCCCTGCAGTACGTGAATTCCTTTCCTTAGTGTGCATGCAAAAACAAAAGTAATGACCGGGTAGACTGAGTAGGTGCTTCTCTTTTTTTGCAATAGGTGTATGTCTATATACAGTACACCAGGTGCTCATGAAATCTGTTGGGCTATTGGAACACTAGTGCAGTGAAAACTATGCCTAACACAGAAATCTGGTATGAATATTTAATCCCTTGCATTTAGATAGAGTTTTAATCCCAAAGGCTCCAAAAACTTTTAACATATACTATAGAAGGGGACCTGTTTCTTTCCCCATGGCAGTGTAGACCCACCTGGGAGACGCACAACAGCCATTCAGCAGCATAGCAGATCGGTAATATTCAAACTGAACCAAGGGGATCAGGTTCCAGAGGACAGAGACAGAGGGTACTGAAGCTGACACATGCACCAGAAGATGCACAGTGCAATTTTATGGGCATAATATTGCCACAACACCTGCAGGTGTAGCGCCTCCTATGTCAGTGCACTGGCATTGCGTCTTTGGTAGAGTTTCCGCACAGTCCCATTTGTATGAATACCAGATTTCTTTGTTTTGCAATACAATGTTAAATTTTGAAGCCCTAGGGTGCACATGAACACACACCTGTAGAATTATGGGCACCCCTATATACCTTATGGTATCTAAAATGAATGCCATTCACTATCTTACTAAGTTTACCAGTTGTTCTTTCTTAAACTTTGCATTTTTTTAAAGGATAGTAAAGGTATTATTTTATATATAATGTATGAATTCTACACACTGGTGGAATACTTGTATATGCTGGACTACTAGTGATTGATTGTACGTGAATGTTGATGTGACTTCTACAGCTTTCACAAGTGGCGGGAGTCTGACTGCCGTGTTCCATGATTATGAAGCAGATCTCACTGGTGTCTTTGTGTAAAAGGTAGCCCCAGTGCCGAGAGTCAGCTGTACTGTTCAGACAGACAGGGGAAGTGTAAGCACACAGTGCCCTGGGTTGTGCTGTGTTAATTAAACCTTCCTGTCTGGACAGAGCTCTGCTGCAGCTTCGACTGAATCAGCATTAGTGAGGAGTGCCTCTTCACCCCATCTGCCTCCCAAAGCCAGGATCGGTCAGCTGAAAAGCAAACATCCGTTTGGATTTCATTTTTTAAAATAATTAAAATGGTCTAACGTTAGACCACAGTTCTGCTGGTCCCATCTTAGAAATAAATGTCAGTGCTCTTTGATTTGTTATTAAGTTATGTTTCTCTCGATATTTGCAGAAATCTGCACCAGAAGAAAGTGCTTGGAGGCAATAAATTGTAAAAGGCACAGAGTAAAAGGAAAGAGTGATTAGGCAAGTTAACAGAGGGGCCACAGTTAAAGGCAGCATCCTTTTGTGGTACAGAGAAAAAAAGATGTCGGACAGTTTGTCTGCTGTGTGACCTGGATTCTGTCTGACATGCTAAGTATATTTTTTTAATCTAGAGAAAAAAAAAGGTAACAACAAAAAAAGATGACAAGCAGAACTCAGTTTGCCTTGAAGGCAAATACTGGCAGTTAGCTCTGTGATGAAACTCTGTTTGTTTGTTTTTTTGCTGCCACAAAATGTGGTGCAAAACCCAATCCTGCCAAGTAAGTGGTTCTGTGGTTTGGTTGCCTGAGCAATCTGCAGGTTTCAGGACAGAGCCTTTGAAGTTTTGCGTGCCAGTCAGTCATCTCTGTGCCCTTACAAGGGTCAGATCGGCGCAGTGCAGCCTCTGTGCTGAAACAGGAAGCAGACCAGAGCAGCCTTTACTGACAATCAGCACGGTTTTGGTGTCTTTCTCTGGAAGGAAGCCGAGACATTTATTTTGAGCGTTTGAAAACGGTCTGCACCATTTTGATAGAACAAACACTGGCATACCAAGTTGTTTCAAAGGAAACACAAGCTCCCAGCAGATAATGTTAAAATGCTCTGAAAATGAATGCTAACTAATAAGGGTTTCACAGTAATTCAGGATCACAATCTGAACTTGTGCAAGTTAGGCTCTGATGAGAGCACACTTGCTACAGTAGGTCACAAAGAGCCAGAGCTGGGGTGTAAATGAGAGCACAAGGTTCTGGAAGGAAGCTGGGAAGTCCAGTGTTTCCAGTGGTAAAGGAGGGGATTGTGGGATTATCAATCAATGAAGAAGAGAAGTTACACAGTCAAGCAGTTGCCTCTAGTCAAGTACAAGATTCAGTTGAATAAAAGATTTAATCTAATTAAAACTTAAGGATTTTTCATCATCATCATACCTTTTGTATGGCTGCATGAGGTAGGTATGATGTCAGGAAACCAATTTAGAACAGACCCTAACATCTGGGCCTATTACTTCCTACTGTCCTATGCACAGATGTCTGAATAACACACACAGCTAGATGCTTTTGCAACAAGGTGATTGTGTTAAGCAGTCTTGAAGTGGGCCTACAGTACAGGAAAATCAACATCCTGTGTAAGCCTTTTACTACCATGGAGACTGTGTATTTGGCTCTATCCTCACAGGTTCTCTTCACTTTTGGGCACAAAAAAAAAACAGCCCATCTTCCATGGCGGTTTAAATATTTTACACTCGGAGACGAGCTTTGGTGTGAAGATAATGCTATTATGTTACTGTTGTTCGTAATAGCTATTGACACAGCAGGTTCCCAATCTCGTCCCGGAGGCCCACAAGTTTGCCGCTGGCTCCAGCCCCTAGGTGGACTGAGTCAGGCGACCAGCCGGGGAGCGGCCCCGGTGGAGCGCAGATTGCGCGAGGCATTTAGCCGCCCGGCTGAACTCACAGGTCGTGCTATTACGTCATTTCTCATACCGTCGGATGTACCTCTGCAGATGTGTAGGGTTTTAAATAGCTCTTTTTTTTCACTTCATGAAAAAGAACGGCACACGCACAGAGCCACAGACTCTCACAGACGTAACACACTTCCTATCCAGCCCATTCGACGTGATTTTCTTACCATATAGGGCTCGAATTTGAAAAGGAAGCAACACGAAGGTAGATGGTTGGAGGAGAAATATATCCACGACTGTGAAAACCACATGTCTCAGCCTGCTCTGCGACGGAGACAGAGAGACTGACGCGTACAGAGCGTGTCAAAACGCCTTTTATGGCTGGTTTGACTTTTGCCCCCTTTGAAAAAAAAAATGCAGAACTAAAACCTTTATTGCTACAGAATCGGTAGCTTTCAAGTGAACTTGTTTTGCGCGGAATGCACAGATCGGGGAATGAGCAGAAGCCGCAGTTACAGTAGCTCAATTAAAATGAACACCTCTGGAAAACCTTTTTTCACATGAACTTTGAGCACACAGTAGGAAGCTGGTGTTGCAAAATGCATCATTTGACTTTTTGGGCATTCAATTTTAAAATGAGGAGGGACGTTTCTGCTATATTCATATTTTTTATGCTAAGGATGACTTAAAACTGCGCTTCGTTTTAACATTTGCATTTGGCCTTGTATTTCAAAACTTCAGCTAACTGCAAAGCTGAGCTACAGCTACAGGGTGCTGGGCGTCCTTCACAACACCGAATATATTTTCTCAACTGGGTTATGAAAGCTTTAAAAATGATGAAATCATATTTGGATTTCAATATCCTGTTGTGTGAGGTAGGGATTTAAAATCCCCCTCATATAATTTTGCCTTGGGGGTTTTAGAAATTCAAGGGTAGGGTGTGTCCCGGCAAAAGAATCATGATTTCATTATGGTCTCATAACAAAAACTACGTATTATACCCTCTACCACAACGATATGATGGAATTTCCAAAATAGGAATGAGCAGAATAATAGGTTCGAAGATTTGTGTAACAGTATTAACGCCTCTGAGCCAGACCTGCTACACTTATCGGTTTTTCACATTTTCACAGCAACAGAAACTCATCTCTTGCATTCTTTGAAAATTCAGTCAATTCAGAATGGGTGAGGAAGACAGACGACGTAAATTGGCAGAACATAAAATATTTTTGAGCATCACCAGGAAAGCCCAGCTCTGTAAACTACCCATATCACCCAACTTAGTCAATCCTGGTTTCAGTCGGAGGACAGTGAGGTATGCTAAATCACTATGCTACTGTAACCATTCATACTAGATCCCACAGTTTACAAAAGAGATTAACGACCAGAATTTCTCCAGAATAAGAGTTATGCGCTCGTTACCAAAGTTACCAAAGGCTACTGTAGGTTTGCACAAACCGGAAAGCTACAGGTACACCGTACGGACAAGTGTAGAGAAATGAAAGCTTGTGAAAAAGGGCTCTCAAATATGAGAAAACATCTGCCTAATCTGGAAGCAAGGAGCACGTAGCAAGGTAGATTGCTCTCTGTGAGCTAGATAGGTACACGCTTTAGCAGTCCAATATATGAGAGGTATACAGCTTGTACAGCCTTTACCGTTGCGCTATCTTCTCTTTTGAAAGCATGGTGTTTTAATTAGCCACCAGAGGAGAAGTTCCTCTTTATTACGGACTGCTTGCCAAAAGCATCAGCAGTGCCATTTTGATGTTGTGATCATCTGTTTTGAAGGACTGTAGAATTGAAATTGAAGTGGGGTAGCTGATAAATGAAAATTGTTTGATGCAATCGTGACTGGGCTTTGAAATTTGCATTTGTGAGTGTGCATGACAGACAAAAACAATGTTATCTGATATTGAAAAAAGTTGAAGCAAGACGTCTGCGCACAACAGGTTAGGTGGATACACACCCACTACACTGAGAGAAAATCTTTATGTCCTTAAAAGGATTTAATCTTCTAGCAGATCCCTTGCTATGTAAGTAACAGTAATAAGTAAACTTGCGCCCCCTTGTGCCAGCGTAATCCTAAAAACGTAATATTCTCTGTATTCACTTTATTATGTGAAAATATGCTTGAACTTAAGTGCGTAACTAGTGTTTTTTTTCCAAAAGAAGAGAAAGTTTTAAGGCACTCTTGAGAGTACTTTAAAATATTTGAAAGCAGGGACATATCTCCGAATTTAATTTGATAGCTGGTAAATCCACTGTATCCTTATTTAAAAAAAAACATCAAAGGCGGCAATAAGAGATGACCAATTAATTTTATGAGGGTGCTTACATTAGCCTTACAGCAATATTATTCTGCATGATAAGATGTTACAAATGGAATTGTGTTATTTGTTTTAGCCCGAAGCAATCTATATACAGGGCGGTGTTCCCTGTCACCATAGTGAGATATTAGTTTGGAAGATGCCGGACCTGGTCCCGGGGGGTCCATGTGTCTGCTTTCTAAATCTCTTTAAAGCACTAGCAGCTGAAATTACTAACTTAACCCGATTAAACCTATTACTAGCTCTCTTAATGTTGTTCATAACCCGTAAAATAAGCACGTTACACTCTCCTTGGATCCCATTGGATACTTCTTTATTTCTGTCCCGCCCAATGTGTATTTTTCGAGTATGCTATTGGACAACTTTTCTGTCATTATGGGCACTGTAAGAGGAAGTTCCGGGTCATGTGACTTAACCTGTTTCCTTGGTTTTGGACGTGATGAAAATAACAATTAGTTTAGCCCAAAGAGGTGTTTTCTTATAGTACGGTTCAGTTTTAAATGGGTGCTTGCTGGAGTCTGAGTACTGAAGGTGCTCGTGTTGTCCGAAAATGAGTAAACACAAGTGTGGTTTTGCTCTGTTGTTTATACGTTGAATGCAGTTAACTGGACTTCGTTTGCTCAGGGTAATGATGTATCTTACTGTTGAGTTTAGAATATTTTGCAAATATATTAATTTTAAGGCTTTTCTTTTCTAAGAATCTAATCTGAGAGAATCTAAGAGAAACGTTGTTCTTAACGTTTCAGACCAGTGTAGCTGAGGTATTGAAGCCTCATTCACAAAGTAAAAACAAACTGCTATTAGACATGATATCATAGCTCTATATGTTTAAATCTTTACATATGAAATGTTATTAAAATTAACGAGACCCAATAAAACGCAAGTTTTATCGGACAGCAATTTTGATAAGAAGTGCAGTTTAAATCTCTTTTGATTTACTCTTTTTAAACTCTGGAGGTCTTCCTTTTCCTGGAAGAGTAAAAATCGCCCGGATTATGGCTAATGGCAGTCCCTAGAAAAAGCAACAGGATCAAAGCATCAGTCGATACATAGAGGAGGAAAGGGAAAGTGAAGGTTGCAGAATATTTCTCCTGACAGAACTAAAACGAGCCCCAATCCCATGTCTTGCTATAATCGCTATGTGTGATTGCGATTTGACCTGCATTGGAGAATGTAGTACTGTCTTTTTTTATCAGTAAACTCGGCTGGAGGTCCCAGCTTCAGAATTATGTGCTGTTTACGACGGATCACACTGCCGTCTATTGTCAGTGACGGACAGTTCCTGATTGTCAGCTAAAACAAAAACATGTTGTGGCCCCCTTCACTCGTAAAAGTCGCTAAAAATGAGTGTTGTTGTCTATATGTTAGTTTCTTGCTTTTATAAAGCGTTTTTCCTTCCAAAGTGATCCACCTGTGGGACTGCAGGGGGGCGGGGGGGGGACCCACTTCGTCCGCCCGCGAGGGCAGCCGGCTCCTGGGCGACGGGCGGCAGCCTTGTGCGCCAGCAGCCCGGCCGCACCCAAGTCGTTAAGACCAGACGAGGAGCGGGCTGGTGTCCCGTAGGCTGGTGAGCGGTGCTTTGCGAGTGTTAACGTCTGCGTGTTGTCTTCAAGGAGAATGGGGAATTCCGAGAGCGTCTCCATCCAGCGGCTGTCCCGATTTCGCCCCGAGGAGCGGCCGTTGATCGAGGGGGCGTTTGACAAGCTGTTGGGCTCAGGGGTGGCAGCCGCCGGGAAAGGGAGGCCTCTGCTGACCCTGGAAATTGTAAAGGCAAGGAGTAAGCTATTTGTTGGGTTTTTTTTGTGTTAGCCCACCTGATTTGGAATCGCCAGTTGCGTGTTTATGACGTCTCGTCTGCAAACCCTGTGACCACACAAGGGGGAGAGAGAGGAAGTGTAGTCAGACTCCTCGCTCCCGTCTGCCTGCGATCCACTCGTTTCTCCGGATGTCCCAGGCAGCACAGCCCCAAAGGGAGAGCTCTGTGCTGATTGGAGGAGAAGCCTTTCCTTCACCGGCACCATCTCATGCCTGCAAGCTTCTGGAAGGCCACAGGGGGCGCTGTGACTCTGAGAGCCACAATCACCCTGGTCGATCAGTAGTCGGCTAGTGACATGATCCTGGCTAGATCCCACGGTCACACAGCTCCGCCAGTGGGCGAAGTCCTTTACTGGATGAGCTACTCAAGAGGCCCCAGAATAAGCCATTTATGACGGTTCTGATTCAAGGGTCTTCAGTCACCAGTCATGAGAAGTGTGCTAGACCCGAGATGGAGTTTAATAAGCAGGAGGTATTGCTGCACATTACTTAGTGACGGCTTAACACCTGTTTGCATTTGGAGAAACTGGTAGTGTCTATGTGTTCTCTTCTTTATCTTCAGGGCTGTCTGCAGGGCCTGGCTACAGACAACATGGCTGTTCGTGTCTACGATGGCATGCGTAACGTGGACCCCACGAGGAAGGCAGCGCCTCCTAGTGGTGCTGTCAGCAAAGAGCAGTTGGTGATCTTCCTCTCAGATATCTTACGAGGCACAGCTGAGGAGAAAGGTCCCGTCGTCCTGTCCATGATCTCTGGAGCTGGGAGAGGCCCTGTGAAGGGTGGACAAGTCGGAGAGGTAGTAGGACTCTTAAATTCCTCATTTCACTGAATCAGACTAGTTCCTGGAAATTGACCAGGGTGATAGACAATTTCCAAGTGTTAGAAGTGCTAGCGAGAGGATGCTGTAGTGGGAGGTGGCCACATGGTAAGTGTACTTGTAACTCACCATAAGCAGTGGATACACCTTGTTAATTATTTTCAGTTTTGATGTTTATTACTTGGATAACATAAGTTCCACCACATGCATATTTGTATTTAAGGTATAATGATATGATTTTTTGGGGTGGCACAGTGGTGCAATGGTTGGCATTACTGTCTCCCAGAGCTGGGGCCCTGGATTCTGTTCTGGACCTGGGGTGCTGTCTGTGTGGAATTGGTATGTTTTCTCCGTGTTTGCATGGTTTTCCTCTAGGTCCTCTAGGTTTCCTCCTACTGTCCAAAGATATACTGGTAGGTGAATTGGCTTCTGGGATAAGTAGGCCTAGCTGTGGGTGTGTGGGTGTTTGTGTGTGCCCTGTGATAGACTGGTGTCTCATCCAGGCTGTATCCTGAGTTGTTCCCATTCCTTTTCGGGATAGGCTCCAGGTCCACCATTAAACTTTAAACTGGTAGAAAGGTGTTTCGTGTTGCATGTAGTCTATTAATTTGCTTTGCAGTTATTCTAAACAGTTTCAGGTGCAAAAATGTCCACACACTGTATCATTAAAATGTTAAGCCTTGTAGAAATCATTCTGTTGGAGTTGGAAGTACATTAATGCTGTCTTGGATCTGGAAGCTGGCTGCTGTCCAGGTTTTCTGTCTGTGAAGGCTTAACTTTCTGAATTGACCTGGGCTGTAATACATAAGAATGAAGTCTGTGGCTGCGTTCTTCCCTGCAGTACTGCAAGTTCAGAGCGTTTCTGAACTTCCCTGGTGTCTGTTTGATGATTCAGGGCTACCACAGATCAGGATCCACACATTCAGCAGAAGAGCCTTTCATGTGCAGTACCATGTCTGTGGAACTCATTGCCCAGATCCACTTGGACTCTGCGAACATCATCATTTTCAAGATCTTTTCACTAAAGCTTTTAAGGTGTATTTTAGTGTGTTTGTTAATTTGTTGTTCTGTGTAGTTTGTTAACAAATATTTTTATTCTAGTTTATATTTTTATATTTTATTATTATAATTGTTATTGCTTCTAGTTTGCAGAAGATCTGGTCTTATCGGTGGTGCAGATAATGAAGACCAGGAAGCTGCTGCAGGGCTGGCAGCTGGAGAGGACCAGCGACAGCGCTGAAGGGGCTAAACGTCTGGCCACCCAGATGATGTCTGAGCTGAGACCGGCAGGTACAGTGGAAACAAGAATGGGCTGAGTGTGCTTCTCTTGGTCACTTACAGTGTCTGCTTAGATTCTGGTTTGCAATGATGGATGAGTAACCTCCACAACAGTCAAAGCATTTTGCTTTAAAACAGGAGGCTCCTGGAAGGTGTGGATGTTTCAGAATGATCACTAGCAAGTACTGCATAATGGACAAATCCCCTGTGTCCAGCGGCCATATCACTCTGCAACTCACAACTGGCAGCCCACTGAAGCTAAGTGGGTGTGAGCCTGGTCAGTACCTGGAGGGGAGACCTCCTGGAAAAAACTAAGGTTGCTGCTGGAAGAGGTGTTAGTGGGGCCAGCAGGGGGCGCTCACCCTGCGGTCCGTGTGGGTCCTAATGCCCCAGTATAGTGACGGGGACACTATACTGTTAACAGCCCCAGTCCTTCTGATGAGACGTAAAACTAAAGTGTCCTGACTCTCTGTCGTCATTAAAAATCCCAGGGCGTTTCTCGAAAAGAGTCAAATTGGTCAAATTGGTCAAATTTCAGCTAAGCATTTGCAAACTCTCTAGCCACATGACAGGTAGTGATTGCATGTGTCTCTCCTGGATAATGAAAATGGGAATGCTCTCCTGTTACTTTTCCACTGTTTCTTACATCCCGTTCCTGCTTGTACGTGTCTCCCAGGCCAGCAGCTGCCACCAGAGAAGGTGATGGAGGCTGACTGTGACCAGGGCTCCGTCGAGGATTGGGTGTACCGTACCTCCACCCTGTCCGTGTTCCTCAGCCTGCTGGTGAGCGAGGGCCTGGGAGTGCCGCTCACGCAGGGACCTGCGCCAACCCTCCTGCCCCAGTGCACGGAGGTCCGCTGGTCGGACTTCCACAGCCTCCTGGACCTGCCCTCCCTCACGTTCCTCAACGCCCAGCTCCCCGCGGAGGCCCAGCTCCGGTGGCGGCTTCTCTTCTCCACCCGGCTCCACGGGGAGAGCTTCTCCCGCCTCTGCGGCCACATCGTCCGCAAGGGCCCCACCTTGCTGCTGCTGCGGGACAGCCGGGGCCACGTCTTCGGGGGCTTCGCTTCCCAGAGCTGGGAGGTCAAGCCGCAGTTCCAAGGTGGGGACCCTTTGGAGACTGTGAGCTTCTTCTCACAGACTCCCATTGCTGCGCTCGCGGGGTTTTGTGAGCTTTAGGTGCTTTTGGCATTTGTCCTGATGATGCAGGGAAGCAAACATTTTTAGATATTATTCTATTCCTGCATGCCTGGGCATTCATCTTTGCCTCTGGTTTATATACGGGAGCCTGCAGCGTGTGAGACCTGAAGTGTTTCACACTGCTGTGCAATGGGATTCTCACTGCTGTCATAGGTATCATAAACTGTATTCACGTTTTTAGTGTTTTTTAATATTTTCTAAAACTAAGGGACACTGATACAGTATGCCAAGCACGTTGTGTCTAGAACCCCTGGTGATTTGTGCCGTTTATTCTAGCCACACAGTGTCTACAGAGATTCAGGGCTCTGACGTCTGATAGCAGAAACACATCTAGGTTTTAGTTTTCTTCTCACTACATGTTTATTGTCTAAATAGGAGCACTTGATTTTTGACAAGGATAACCTTTCTTTGTTATGTAAACAATTTCTCTAAAATACAGAAGTGATCTGAAAAAAATATTATAGGTTTTCATGTTTTGTATTTTCCAGGACTATTTTTTATTACTATTGTCTTTGTGTTTATGCATTGGCTAATGATAATTCAGTTCATTACATATACCTAAAAACAATAGAAATTAAATGTGCTGTGTTGCAAGTGGAGTAGTTTAACAGTATGTGAAAAGTTAAGATTGTTAAGTACACTTTACAAAAGCAAGCAAAAAGCATCTATCTGTAGTCAGTCAGGCTTCAAAATATTCCTTCTTCGTAATGCTACGATGCAAAAGTTGGTGCATAATGATTATGTATAGGCCTGTGACTCTCCAGAGTGTTTGGCCTTTTAGCTTGAGCTGCAGGCTTGCATCAGTGGAAGTGCATGAGGCGTCTGCTAACGAATAGCGGTGTGTGCAGCCTGGCCCATCAGTGGGTAGCAGGTGATCCCTAAGTGAGGTTGGAAATTGTTGCATTTGTGAGGGCAGGAGAGTTGCCCTTACTGTGTTGCATTGTACTGTATATACATCTATTGTAACTGCTAAGTGGAACTTGCTGACCTGTTGCCCACAGAGTCCAGAGTATTAGTAGGACATCAGATCAGCTACATAGTATGATCGGGTAAATTTTACATATAGTCCCATACGTTTTGCATGTGATCTTCATAAAAGCTTTCCAGTGTGTCATGCTTTTTGAGTCATGTCTTTGCATAGCTCAGGCTGTATCTTTACCACCTTTTACATTTAATGCATCAGCCTCCTGGCCATTTTTTTTATTTTGGCAGTTCATGGCCCCGTCTGAAAGTGTGTCAAGAATGAACGGGAACGGGATGTAAGAATGAGTCCTGCACAAATAGAGCAGAGCAAAATGGCAAGCTTTAGGGAAATGTTTGTATTCTTGGTTCCAGTATCACTAAACAGCAGCTTTATCAGTAACAATGGATTTATTTGCTTTAGGGGACAACAGGTGCTTTCTGTTCACTGTGAGCCCTTCCCTGTCTGTCTACACCTATACGGGCTACAACGAACACTACATGTATCTCAACCACAGTCAGCAGACCATGCCTAATGGACTGGTAAGCACCGCTTCTTGGACTTCAAGGCTTAACACCTTGTTTGCGCAGGTATACCCTGCTCTCCCAGACAAAGGTCTTCAGGTTTATTCTCATTCTAGCAATGGCTTTAGCTTGTATCCTGACTTTAGAAGACCTAACACTGCATGCTCAAGTAATAAATTGCTTGTTTTGACTGTTTTGGATTTTGGCTGAATCTTGTTCCTTGGGCTGTTAGTAAGAACCAGGTATTTGGTGAATCGACTTCTTGCAGGCTGCCTGCCTTTTGATTTTTGTTAGATGTGTTTTTGGTTTGTTTGTCTATGCAGGGTATGGGCGGCCAGCACAATTACTTTGGTCTGTGGGTGGACAGTGATTTTGGGAAAGGTCACAGCAAAGCGAGGCCGCGCTGCACCACCTACAGCAGCCCCCAGCTCTCGGCGGATGACGAATTCACCATCGACGTCATGGAGGTCTGGGCTGTCGGAGAGCCCCCCGAGGATACGGCTGTGCGTTTCTTCCCTCTCACCCTGCAACACCGCGACACAGACTTAGCATCGGTCCCTCCTGCGGAGCACAAAATTCCAGGAAGTCGGCTGTCAGATTCTATTGCTGACTCTAACATTCCACACAGATAGCTCTTGTTTAACATTTCCATTTCACAGTTTAGAACAGAAACAGGAAAGACAGAGCCACGATGGTCAAATGTGTGGGACGTTCACTGTTAGTTATCGCCACGGAACAGATGGAGTTACTTAGGTCTTTTTGAAGATTTTGTAATTTCAGCAAGCACATTTCAAGAAGCAAAAACTAAACTAAGTGCATACTGTTTCTGTTACAAATGCCACCAGACGAAAATCACCCGTGTGTTGAATTTTATTTGAGTAGTTTCAGGTACCTTAACTACATTAATACCAACCCCGTAGTATTACTAGGACTTCTGTATTAAGTACAAATTGGTTAAAGATTTTCTTTTCTGTCAAGCCCATTAAATCCAATTTTTCTTGAACATGTTTTTGTGTTTGTGCCACTAGGTGGCAGTGTCAGACCATCGAACCTGTGGAAAGTCATGGGTTCATTTTTCCTCGCTTGCTTTCCCGTCTCAGATTTGCAGGTAATACTAGTTCCATGAAGTAAATTCGAGATGTGCTCTCATGGTCTTCACTGTGGTTGTTTTTCCTCAGAACAAGACCAAGCAGAGCGTCCTGGATGCTGACCCTGAGACACAGGCCATGCTGGAGATGGCAGGGAAGACCCTGCACAGCGGGGGGCTGCGGGAGCCCAGAGACGAGGAGGAGGAGGAGGCTGAGGAAGCCGGCAGCTGAGGGACAGGTACACTACATCAGGTGTCAACGCCCTGCCTCACCTGTGTCTGGCTGCCGCAGCGACGACCCCCGCTGACAGGCCTGGGGAAAGAGGCTGGAGGCACGCTTCAGCTAAACCCAGACTATCGCGCATTGAGTGTTTGCAGTATTACTCTGCTTATCCTCTTGATCGCAGACCAGACCCCTCAAAACGGAATTGAAATAAGTCCCTATCAGTACATTCTGTCTGTTGTAGTGCTATTTACTTTCCTAATGGCTGCTGGGCCCCTCTTTTATATCCATCTGAAGTGAATATCTTAATGGCCTGATTATTTAATGAATTGCATCATTTTATTAAAATGTCTTACCATGTCTTCTACATCTTCTTAAATCCCCAACTGAACTTAATATGAGAAACAGCAGAGACTTGAGTAACACCTGCTGCAGAGTCCTAAACGTTTGGTTGAATCTGAAGAATTAGCACAACTATTCCAAGCATCGGTTTAACTGTACTTGGGGGAGTGTGACCAGACCTGGAGTTTCTGTCTTGCAAAAGAGAAACCTAAAGTCTGTCCTACAATAAGAGAAAAAGTAAAATTGGGAAAACATTTCTTTCTGTTCCAGCTGGTTGAAAAAAACAAAGCAAAATTAAGGGGTAAACATGATACGGGTATGATACCTTGCACAAAAATGTCTGAACTTGCACTTGAGACGAGTTCTTAACTTAGTTTATCTGGAATGTGACTTTTATTAAAAGCAAAAAGAAAATGAATAAGTATCTGTGTTACGCAGGTAGACAATGTAAGTAACAATTGAATCATAATTTAGAATTGGAAGAATGTGCAAGAAATAGTTTCCTTTTTCACTGAAATTTTTTTCCATTTGAGGTCATGAAGTGCCTCATGTTTAGCACAAAACGGGTGGATTCTACTGCTGTTTGATTTTAAAAAAAAAATATGTTTGTGTTCTGTATTTTAAAATTGAGTCTTTTGTAGCAGCACTGTGAGTTGTTAATTCTTTGGCTTCTTAATTTCAGCATTTTGACTGTAGACAAATGAAAAGTCTTCTCTGACATAAAGGGACAACAAGTGTAAAACTTGAAAATGAGGTTATGTCATGCTTTTTACTTTGCCTGTCCTATAAAATGTAATCTATGTCATTATCTGCTGTTGCTGATGTAAATATTGCTGTCTGCCACGCCAGATGGTAAGGCTGATTTTGCTTAGCACAATTGCCTGGAAGTGATTTGAATAGAGTTGTAGTAAGTATTTATTTGATATACTTCCCCAGAGCAAGTTACTGTTATTAGACTTTGTGGCGCTATCTGCATGACTTTTGTGTGACATGGATTTCAACAAGTCCTCTGTTTGCATCCTGCAAGATACTTTAACTATTTATTAACTGAGCATTTATTTGATTAAACTAGGAAATAATAGGATAATTTATGTGAACACATTTGTCACTATATGCAGCAAAAAAGATTTTAGGTACTAAGAAAGTGCCACTTCACACTAAACCTTCAGAAGGTTAAAGTCCTTTCATTATTGGCAATCTACTATTTCTTAAAACTAGTGATAAAAATATACCTTTATCTAATGATAAGATATTATTTCTGCCTTAAAAAAACATACCCTCCCCCTCTTTGAGAAGTGAAGCAGTCTTTTGTTCATCAGTCTGGTGTTACCCAACTTGCATAGCCAGGTTTCTGGAAGGGATCAGTCTGAAGACCTAGGGTAGGCCAGGGCCTCATTGTGTTGCCTGAAATACAGGCATGCCAACAGAAGCACACAACTGGCTATTACTGTCCAACGTGCTACTGAATAAACTGGCAGCTTTAGTCTAGACCTAGAGGATCCAGGATGCTTCTTTGCAATGTGCTTTTGGAAAAACCACAATTTTCCAGTGTGTTTTTCTGAAACGTTGTGTGATTGTAAGTTAAACGTTTGTGCTTCCTTTATTGACATTAAATAGAAACACCCAGATGAGACTGGGAGTGAGCTGTACTCACTGTTCAGGTCTACTTAAAAGCTCTTCTCTGTTTGGGTCAAACCTTCACCCTTCACCTCTCCGGCTTCGAGGCCGCGGGTCACCGTCACGTAACTAAAGAGCTCTCCTCACCAGGACAGCAATACCCCCAAACTAATTTCAATTTAATGTTTTACTGCACCATGGAATTTCTTCAAATGGCAGCAATAAAGGCATCACAAAACAGCAGAGAGGGAATCAAATTAGTTTGTTTGCATAGTCCAGTCACATTGGCTATCACGATAGTGTGATGGGAAATTGCAAAAGTATGTACTTAATAAAGAACGTGCTAGAATGTAGAGAAGTGAAATAAGATTAAATATATTGTTTTCCAGTCCACATGTACATTAACCAAAGAAATGCATCTTAAAAATGGAAAATATTAAAGGTTCAAATCTAATAAAACTGCGTATTAAAATTGTGTACGTTCAGATATTCTGCTCTAGCAGCATCCTCAGCAGCTAAGAGTCTGTTCTTTAAGGAAAGGGAGAGAGGAACTTACAGAAAGGATCAAGCACGATTTGATCAAAACATCAAAATATCAGAGGTCCAGTTTATTTTGTACAAAGTTTTTATTTACATCCTTCAAGTGAATGGCCATTAATGCTGTTTGGAGGTAGTGATTAACACAGGCCATCTCAAGACCTTATCCTGGACATACAGTATAAACGCATGGAGATGCTATTACAAATACTGCACTTGCAAACGATCCCTATGCTCTAATTGTGTGGCAGTAAGTGAGCAGCAGAGGAAATACATGGGCATATGTAAAACACATAACTTTAATTTGGCATTAATAGAATTTTTAGAAAAACAATGTTCATTTTGATAACATCAGAACTGTACCGTTGGCAGGGGATTCGGAGTGGCTGTTCCAGTCAAGGCCCTCACCTGGATTGCATTAGTCCTGACAGTGCTAGTTTGTGTCTGGGCTGTGCTATTAATGAATGGGGCCAGGACTCTCCAGGCTTTGGCATAAGCTTTTCCCACCATCACTAGAGTTGAATGTGTTGGCTCGCTGGGGTTGGGTCTTGTTTGTGAGCTTACAGTGTGGCCAGTGTAATACCATCACTCCTCCAGACAAAGCCTGCTGTCCTGTGAGCAGTTTTCACAGCGGGCTTTTCGGAGGGGCATACATCTGTCCTTCTTCCTTCTCATGCTTGTGCAGAGAGTGCAGCAGTGCGCCAACCTCGACAACAATTGGCGACTCCATATTTCAAAGAAAGTATGAGCCCCACTGAATCTCAGCTCCATTGAGAACAGATAGAGCACCCACAGCCTTCACACTACAGAAGTGTCTGTAAACCCTTGCTTTAGGGATTGATTCTGATTCTGTGCCAGGAGAGGGATGGAATCCGTACAATTGTCTGCACATAGGTAGGAAAAAGATGACACTACCCTGTGTTAAGCACATCTATATTATTACCAAGCAGTGATTCCTATATTCTTTCAAAACCAAAGCAAACTTGTGCCTTTACAAAACACCACAGTCTTTCTGTGAGCTTATACTGAGCTTCGTAAAACTTGCAAATTGGGAAAAACTGAAAAAAACAACAACTCTAAAACTAACTGGATAACACATCTCTGCCTCTGCGGTCTTTCTTCCTTCTGCATTTGATTAGACATCTCTCCAGCAGCTTCACCAGTTCTGACACAATGAAGACAGAGGAGGCCATTGCAGTCAGCAGCAACAGGTCTGCAAGAAACAGAACAGGGAGAGGAGACGTCACATTTCTGTGACACTGAGCCTCAAACTGGAGCCAGGGGATCCCCTGACATCCACAGATTGCCAGAAGTCCAGCTCTTTGTCTCGCAACATTTGCCACAGTGCTCAGGTCCCATTTAAAAAAAAAAAGAATTTCTCTTTTCAAACTCACCTAGTTTTAAACAGTATGTTTTCTGAATTTGATTTCCAATGTAATCTTCTGTAATTTGAGGGGCAAATCCTACTATGACATATTTACATTATGCCAATCTCCTATCGATCGTTGTTGCAAGCTGGGTAGTTTTTGTGATTTTCAGTATATTTTTATTAGCTATAACAATCTTGACAATTGAGTCTCAGCTCAACTTAACCATTCAGACAGCAGCCTAACTGTCGACCTGCAATACAGTTAACATCTACTTCCTTTACATACACTTGTCCTTCTTTAGCTCTGTCTCCTTTATCATGCCACCTTTCAAATTCAGAATTTTAGTGCTTGTGAAGAATAGCACTGTATATTTTGAGACAGCTGTACCTTTAAGACCATAGATGTCCATATTCAATCCAACATTAAAATGTGCACTACTGTTTAAAGGGAGTGGTATAGCTTAGATATTTCTAGCAGACATTCTAGAAAGAGAACTATGATAAATGACATTAAGGTACTGTGTACAGTAAGCTCCTGCATTTAATGCTTGGCCTGGTGCAGCAGGCTCTGACTCACCTGCTGCCAACAGGCTCTCTGTCTGGAAGACCCTCTGTAGCGGAGGAATGTAAATAACTGCTAGTTGTCCCAGGATGGAGCCTATCACTGCACACAGGAAAGGGCGATTCTGGAAAAGCCCCACCTCAAAAATCAGGCTGGACTGTAACAAAGAAAAAATAGTGTTAGAAGCATTAATTATGTGCTGAATTACAGAATTCAGTGAGGCCTGGGGCGAGTGTAAGTCTCTGAATTCATTGAGGCCCGGGGCAAGTGTAAGTCTCTGAATTCAGTGAGGCCTGGGGCGAGTGTGTGTCTGAATTCAGTGAGGCCTGGGGCGAGTGTGTGTCTGAATTCAGTGAGGCCTGGGGCGAGTGTGTGTCTGAATTCAGTGAGGCCTGGGGCGATCTGCTTCTAAGTCACTCACCTCGGATCGACAAGTCAGAGCGTTGAACATGTCGAAGAAGACAAAACATGTGAATGTCATCGTTGTGGTGCGTGAGGTAACTTTGCCATCAGTCATCTACATAAACAAATGTATGTTTACCATCTCGCTCAGCTTGAAAGGAAAAATCAAATCAGCAGCCAGATGAAAACAGCTGTCATAGCTAAGAAAAACAGGAAGACCTATATTCCAGATTTTACATTCTATGTTGACATTTTCCTCAACAATTGTCAATAATGTACTTTTACAGGCATCATACTGTAAAGTCTGATTTAGGCTTAGATCTTTTTGCTAAGTTCAGGTCCAGGGCGGGGTATCTGTCACACTTTATAACCTTTATATTCTTTATAAGATGTGACTTTCTGGGCTCGTTGCAAATGTCTATTCTATTACCACCTAAACATAAAGAAGGAAAACATTTTGGATATATGTGGGGAATGGGGAAAGGAATATGGTAAATCACATTAACCAAATAATGAACATTATATTTCTGATCCCTCCCTTTTCCCCACACACCTGAAGAAATGTCCACATTTTTAAATCTTTCTTTTTACTTCTTATTGTGTAGTTTACTTAAACCTTGACAGTTTATCTTGGCCCAGATTGACTTGTTTAGTAGAACGTGCCTCTTTCCAGAAGATAAACAGCGTTCCAGTGATGATGAGGGATGCAGAGATCAGGATTTTCAGGATAAGGCTTCTGCTCAGGATGGAGTCTTCCATGCTCCTGGGACGATGCTTGATGGCATCTTTGTGAATAGGCTCCACCCCCAGACTTCAACATAGAAAAATCCATAAGTGATGCAATCAGAGAAAAGCCCACATTGTCGCACAGACCCTGGAATACAGCACTGGCATACTGTCTAGAACTGGTAGATTCCGGAATTAATGTATGTTACTCTCACAGAGGGTTTCTCATGTATTTTTACTATAAAGGAAAAAATAGAACAGATGATGGCAAATGTAATCTGCCAGATTCCCTAGTAATTTGTACACTGCAGTTTGTAATTATTTCAGGTCTCATCAAGATATATAGTAGCTTTTGTGTCATGGATATGTAGAAGTTGCATCTCGCATATATTTCCAGTGAGTTATGATATGAGTTATACAGTAAATTATTTTATTATGTATGCTTTCCTGCCTGCTACATTTTGTATGACAGAAACGTGACAGGAGATTATTTCTGTCAATGTTTGTTATACATACACTGAAGGAGAGAAACAATTCTATTTTGATATTCTACTGTAGTTTTAGCCATGTTTAAAGAAGGGTTAATCTGGATAATATTTAGTATTTTGTTGTACAAAAATTGTCTTTTAGCTTTCTAACATGCAGAGAGGACAAAGTGATGGTAGTGCCATGAAACAACTGGCAATAACTCAGCTTGATTTGATTGGGAAGTGTGATGCTTTGGCTACAGTAGCATGTATTGGTTTCTCTCGTGTAATTTCTCTTGAGTTGTGAGCACATTAAGAGACCTTGATTTCTCTTCACCCAAACTAAACTATGTTAATACCATTCGGAGATGCTATAATATTGGAGCGCGATGTTGGCTGTAGAAAAAGAACTAATGGCAGTGTTGTTTTCCAGTAGCAGAGTTGTGACAGCAGCTCAATATGACCACGGATCACAAAGCATCTAGTTCTGCACATAAACATTCGAAGACAGCTTTACCTTTGGGCAGGAGGACCATCCATGATGATGTTAATCCACAGGATCTGCATGGCATTGAGCGGATTTGGCAAATTAAACAACGTGGACAGTGTGATCAGACTAAGAGCTGCAATACTCCTAAGAGGGGGAAAAAAACATTTTAATTTAGTTACTTTTAGCATTGTGTTTGTGCTGGTAATGCAGGACTTTACAGCAATCATAAAACTAAAGTTCATTTAAAAAATGGATGTAGAAATGCTGAAATCTGATACTTAAAGTCTGGTATTTAGAAGAACACTTTAAAACATCAGTGACTGCTGACCTGTGTTTAATTTGTTTAAAGAATATATATACACATGTTCTGTGTCAATATTTGAGTTGAGATGCACTGATTTAAAAAGAATCAGAAAAGAAAGCACAAGGCACTCTCTATAAATTTAAAAAGTCATATTTCTGTATTTTCATTAAAAATTGTTAGGGGAAACTCAATGCCTTCCTTTATTTTGCTTAAAATCGTAGATTGTTTTGTTACAATTTACTGAAGTGCTTTACAATTGAATTCATTGAAATATACTTTCATTAATAGTTCAGGTGAGTAGCTGCGTCAGCATGCGCAGGCTGCAAAGGAACAAGTAATAGGTTTATTCCATGCTGGAAAAAAGAAGAAAGAGAACACAACGTTTCGGCCGTGGAGCCTTCTTCAGGTGTGAAGCTCACACCTGAAGAAGGCTCCACGGCCGAAACGTTGTGTTCTCTTTCTTCTTTTTTTCAGCATGGAATAAACCTATTACTTGTTCCTTTACTTTCATTAATGAGCATCATTTCAGTCTCATGCTCTTTGTTAATGATTCTTAAAAGCTGGAGAGCCTCTGTGGTACACCTGGTGACCTGGCCCAGGTGTACAGTACCACAGGAACACACCCTGCGTTCCGAGCTTGCGCCTTGCTGGTGGATTGACTCAGGAGACCCTATGTTTAATATTTTTAAAAAATATTTCGGATTTAGCATTTGCAATATTCTGGATGCTAACAGTCTTATAGCAAAAACGTAAAAACAAAGATTAATTTGCTATTTCAAAGCACAGAGTGGCAGGTGAATGGCAGATTGGAAGAATTTTCAGGTTCTGTGCAAGAGATGCTGGTGTGAAAGAAACATCAGTATCCGAGCAGTAGTAAAACACAGGCAAATCAGAGACAGGCAAATCATTGAAAACACAAATTACATAAAGACACGTATAGACAGCTATTTTGTTTCCTTGTTATTCTAAGGTAAACCTAAAAAAGAGTAATTTTTTAATGTGCTCTTAATTTTACTGTGAAATGAAAAGGAATAATTATATTTCATTATATAGTTCTTCTATATCTTAGGTTGAAAGAGCTGACCTGCTTCTGTGATTTTGGATCAGGGTGTGAGACCCTCTTTTGAGAACCAAAGGGATGCAGCTACAGTAGATGTTAAGAACCACTGGTTTGGAGGGAGTAAGATACCCAGTTTTAGAAACCAGTGAAGGTTTCGGACGTACAGAATGTAATAAAAATTAAAGGGTAAAAATCATAGTCCCTTGATCCAGGATATTTATCACCAACAATGCAGCCTTGCAGAAACTCTGACCAAGAAACTGGATGTTAAAAAAAAACATCAGACATGATGCTTTTGAGATATCCCAAGACCAGTAATGAGTTTTTAAATTAATTTGTCAGTGATGGTAGACTTGGTGATGCTACTTTGTGACGTATGCATGGTAAAATAACATTCTTCAAAAGTTAAATATCTGTACATTTCACGTGTAAGAGATAAGGAAGCAGAGCACTTGATGTGTAATTCTGTTTAAGGTTACAGGCACAGTCCAAGGATACTGAGTCCCAAAATAGGGCAAGATTTTTTATCATGTTTTCAATGACAGGCCATCCTAATATAAAGGACATGTATAATGTATAGGATATATATAGTACATACGTGCTGAGCTGAAACCTGACAAAATTTTTAATGTTGTAAAATATTCCTTTTCCTTCTTCAATGGCACATCTGGAAAATAATGGAACAAGTAGGTTACAGAAGTATCACTGCTATCTTAAGAAATGAACTAAAAATAAATTAGCCTTACCTTTTGACAGAAGACCTAAGATTCATTTAGAGAAAGAAAAACTCAGGAGGAAACTGCTCGTTTCATTCTTCCCTATTGTTTGTCTTGTTTCAAAATGGATTGGATTTCCAGTTTAAAGGGAACATCTGAGGTCGACTCCAGCCTGGAGCTCCTCCTGTGTGCAGTTTGCATGTGTTTCTGTGGCTGCAGGTTTTTTTTTTTTGTGTGATCTGGTTTCTCTCACAGTCCCAAGACAGGCTGAGTAGGTGAAGTGATGCCTCTGAATTGTTGTGCCTGTGAGTATGTCTGTGTGCATTCTGCCCTGCGACCCTAAGTGGATTTACTGAATGTGGATGGACGCTTTCCGAGCTCGTTCACCTTTAGCATGGACACTGTAAGAACTGGATTTTGACATTTCAGCGTTTTTTTTAAAGATTCCTCATGGCTGTTTCTTTTTTCAATGTCATTTGCAATGTTAATTGTGCACAATAATGTTCAGGAAAACAACACTTAAGAACAGAACAGGGAAAACTGGCTGTTAAGCATGCTGGCTATGTACTATGCTTCATAAAAGCAGTGACTCACAAACAAATTGATATACTGCACCCAATATACCCTTGCACCCTAGATTTCAGGTCATCAGTACCGAAACCACAGCTGCATCTCTGCAGAGTATGTATGCTATTCATATAGTGAAAATATTGGGACAGAAAAGTGAAATTTGTCACTTTTGCTGTGAACTAATGAAATTTGTATTTCAGATCAAAAGATTAATGCAACGTAAAGCATAACTTGTCTGCTTTTATTTCTGGGAATTCATTTATATACCATTTGTATTATGTTTAGCCATGTTAGAACAAATATTGGGACAGATAGCTGACAGGAGTTTCTGATTGCTCAGATGTTCCATGTTGCATAATTGTGAATACATAAAAGAGCTGCGAATGGAGTTTTGGGTGTGCCTCTTGAGTTAGAAGGCACAAAACCAAGTCTAGAGAGTTTTCGTTATTGGAAGGGCAAGCAATTGATGAGAGCAAAGAAAACTCCAGTTAGAAGCACTGCAGAGAGACTGGGCATCGAGAAATCAACAATATAGAATGTCTTGAAAAAGAAAAAACTACTGCAGGAGTAAGCATTCAACAAAGATTAGGTTGTCCAAGGAAGATGTCTGAAAAATCATTAGAGCTGTGAAGAAAAACCCTAAAATAATGCCAAAGAGAGTGCAGACAATCTCCATATTGCAAAGGTGATGAAAATATCTAAATTCTCTGTGTGCAAGAGGCAACTCTCTTACAGCACTACCACAGAATGCTGAGCTGCTAGATTTCTGGGACAGTTTTACAGATGAGGATGAGATTGGATGAAGATAAACCTTTATCAAAGTGACAGAAAGGGAAAAGTGTGGAGAAAGGGAGGAACTGCAAATGATCCTTTTAAGCGCCTTGGGGCAACCTTGTTGTGAAAGGTGCTATATAAAAATAAATTTAATTGAATTGAATCCTAAGCACATCACCTCATCTTTTGAACTGGCGAAGTCAATATCTTGATTTAAATCCTGTTGAGCAAATTGTACTCGGTTAAGGGAAAACGTAATTTAGAAAATCTCACAAACAAGCAACAGCTGAACAGCAGTTAAGGCTTCTCAGGGTATCTTGAAGGAGCATATCCAGATTGTTGTGATGTCAATGGGTCCCAGATCTGAAGCAGTCATTGCATGTATAAGGATATGTAACCAAATACTAACTTAACTTCAAGTTAATTTGTCCCAATACTTATGTTTACTTAACTGGGGAATTTGAACGCAGCAAAGGACATTGTTTTAATATGGCTTAACAATGCATATAAAATAACTACCAGAAGCAAGAGATGAAATTCTATGGCTCTGTGGCTAAGGATCTGCGCCTGTGGCTGGAAGGTTGCCGGTTCATATTCCGCGGCCGGCAGAGGAATCTTACACTGTTGGGCCCCTGAGCAAGGCCCTTAACCCCAACTGCTCCAGGGGTGCTGTACAATGACTGACCCTGCGCTCTGACCCCCAGCTTCTCTCCCTGTCTGTGTGTCTCATGGAAAGCAAGTTGGGGTATGCGAAAAGACAAATACCTAATACAAGAAATTGTATATGGCCAATAAAGTGATCTTATCTCTTATTTTATATTTAAGTTTTGATCTCAAATACAAATTTCATTAGTACAAAAAAAACTTCACTGTCCCGATATTTACACTTGTTTAAGCAGATTTTTAAAGCACTCATGTACAGTATTTAAATATTGAACATACTGTAACAGTTCCTCATGCTGTGGCATATTAAAATGATAACCTACAGCACTAAATTGTTTAGTAACATTTTCTTGGAACCTTTTTGATCCTGTTGTGTAATTATTGCCCTTCAGCAGGAGAATTTGCTTCAAGTCAGAAACTGCTCCATTTGTGTCTGCTTTGGGCATTTTGATTTGGATATGCATGATCTTCGTGCCGAAGCTTCACTAATCTCATTAACTGCTGCAGTCAACCAGCCCAGAGGTATCTCATTGTAATACAGCGGGGCTCTGCGATATCACATGGTAATCTTAAATCTTTCCTGGAGTGCTGGGAAACATACATACCTGTTGTATCCATCTCTGTCAACAAAGCGCTTTTTTGTTAATTCAGGATCTACAGCTCTTTGTTTTGCTGTAAGCAAACCAGTTGTGTGTTTTCACATCTCAGCAGCTGCTCGCAGGGGAGAAAGAGGAGGCGCAGGCGGGGCTCCCCCAAATCGCCCACCTCCAAGCCCCTGCAGTCCCACCGGTCGGCCGGAGACACAGCCCAGGCTCGAACCCGGTGCTGCCGGTATCCGAGAGCTCAACCTCCACTTGGCAAAGTTCAACACAAGGGCACTCACATGATTGTGGAGAAGCTGTCGTCCATCAGGATCATGTCGGCTGCCTCCTTACTGACGTCCGTCCCTGTGCGCCCCATTGCCACCCCGATGTCAGCTGACTTGAGGGCAATGGCGTCATTCACGCCATCACCCGTCATTCCCACGATAGCTCCATGACTCTGCAATGCCTGAGATTGAGGGGTGAGCGTTGGAACAGAGAGATTAGATGAGATCAGAGGAAGGATTAGGGCACCCTGCAGGTCTCCCTTGAAAACACGTAAGGAAACATTTTTCCACAACACAAATGATGATGAACTGTGATTATTACTAGGTTTATAGAAAAAGGACAGAAAATAAGCATCTCCATAGTAAATGGACATTGTTGAGATGGACGAAGCCATTGAACTGCAAGTAATTTAATGACTTAGATTAGACTGAAATACTTTCTATTTGAAAGCCTGCGTATATGCATGAAATCCTTATTTATGGATTTAACAGGAACTTGGAGATTATGTATAATGGGTTAGCTGGCACTGAAAAAGAACCCGGCTCTAAGCAGTGCAGTAGAAGACATGGACGTGTTTAGGTATTGTTGCTGCACCTCTCTCACATTACAGTTGCTGTGCAAAGATAAGACCCAGTTTTATATTCTTGGAAGAAAAGCAAATACAGTACCTTGACTATTTTTAATTTGTGCTTTGGGCTTGTCCTGTAGAACACAGAAACCTGAAATATAATAATTTAAGAGTAAGAGTCCATGTTAATGTTTTTACAACATTTTTTCACAGAACTTTTAATAACCCATGAAAATCTAACATTTCTTTCATTTCTTTTAAATAGTAGCAACATGTATTAGAAAGTGTTGTAAATCCGTTTTGACAGCCTGCTACAGTAGCGAAATGAGATTTCCTGAAAAGTAAATTCGTTATGGTATCTGCGATGGCAAAGCTTCGGTACACTCAAATGATTATTTTGAAAGTGGCTGACTTGGCTCATTTGACCACATGATGTGGTACTGAGGTATGTGTGACCAGAGCAGCACACAGTCAGTGAATGAATCTTGCCTTCTTACCTTGTTAACCTTAGAGGCGAGCTCAGAGTCGGTCAGCCTGTCCAGCTCCGTGCCTGCCAGCGCTCCCAAGCGACTGTCGATGCCTATGCTTTCCCCTGTGGATTGGAAGAAGTCACCCAATTACTTGAAATCTATTTTGGTGCGATCTCAGTCTTTATAAGTGAGACATTGTGGGATCTTTCTCTCTGGAATTCCATATTGTGATATACTTCTGTGCATACGTTAATTTGGGAACAAGAAAAAATATTTCTACAATTTCGACCTATTGATCATTTAAAAACCACTTGGGTTAAAATATTGGAATGGAATAAGAAGAATAAGATTCCTAGAGGAATAGGTGTCTTCTAGTTTTTTGTCTGTCCAAGCTCTTTGTTTTATAGTAAATTAAACCCTTAAGTAAAAAAAATCCTGTATCTTTAAAAAATGATTAGATGAATTATTTAATTGACCACCCAGGTTAGAACAAAAGGCTAAAGACTTCCTCTCCCCTTGAAGAAACTCCCTCCAGGAACTAAGGCCCCTTTGTTTAAAGCTAGCCCTCAGCCAGACAGAAACATTCTAGTTATTTTTAGCATTTTCGAAGGAAAGTTGGTTAAAGACGTTATTTTGCTAAATTGTCTAGTGTAGCAGGCTTGAGTGATCCCGACAGATATTGAGCAGATTCTCCTGACTGATTCTGTATCGGACATGAACGTACAGTACCTATGGATAGAGCAGTTTCCAGAGCATCTCCGGTGATCATCTTCACTTCCACCCCTGACCTTCGCAAGGTGAGGACGGCCTCTCTGACGCCCTCTCTCGGGGGGTCTGTCATCGCGATCAAACCCAGGAAGGTCAGCTGGCCGAGCTCTAGTCCAGAAGCCAGAGACAGCACTGTGGACAGCACAGGACAAAAACGCACTCTGTGAGTCTGGTAAAGCCACTCCAACACAGATTCCCTGTAACTTTCCAGCTGGAGAAAACGCATTGACTTTGAAAAATCTAGTGTTCTGCTACTGAAATTTAGTATCAGTATTATAAGTGACACATTCCAAGAAGCACTGTAGTATAAAATTCGACAGCCATATCACCCTGCAACTCACACCTGGCAGCCCACTAAAGCTCAGCAGGTGTGAACCTGGTCAGTACCTGGATGGGAGACTCCTGGGAAAAACTAAGGTTGCTGCTGGAAGTTAGTGGGGCCAGCAGGGGGTGCTCACCCTGCGGTCTGTCTGGGTCCTAATGCCCCAGCATAGTGATGGGGACACTATACTGTAAAAAGGTGCTGTCTTTTGATTGAGATGTAAAACCGAGGTCCTGACTCTCTGTGGTCATTAAAAGGGTGTTTCTCGAAAACAGTAGGGGTGTAACCCCAGCATCCTGGCCAATTTTCCCACTGGGCTTTATCAATCATGGCCTCTTAAAAATCCCCATCTCTGAACTGGCTTCATCGCTCTGTTCCCCTCCCTACTGAGAGCTGGTGTGTGGGGAGTGTACTGGTGCACAATGGCTGCCGTTGCATCATCCAGGTGGGGCAGAACACTGGTGGTGGTGGAGGGGATCCCCATTACCTGTAAAGAGCTTTCAGTGGAGTGTCCAGAAAAGCGCTATATAAACATGATGGATGTTGATTGCATCTGTTTGAGAAACCAGCCTTGGGGGGGTGTGTTGAGTGTTTTTAGTGTTGGGGATTCCCCTGGTTTGGGAGCCCTGAGGAGGGTTCTGACGCCATTATAGAGACAATTCACGTCCCTTTCATTTTTTCTGCCTGTGACAAGGTCTTCTCACCACGGAGTAAATTCTTGCTGCTTTGCAATGCCTCCGGGAAATAACAATATTTGATTTTGTGAAGGAATTCAGGTTTCGAGATACTCTACCATTGGGCTAAAATGACAACCGGGAAAACCAGTTTTGCTTTTTCAACCATTGTTAAACACACTGTAAATCAGAGGAATCCAGGCCACGCTCTACTGAGAATTGACACGGGCTGTTTGTCACATTCCTTCCTGTCTTAAAAATAACTCCATTATCTGGACAAGAACAAGGGTTGGCCCCCAGGATGTTGACTGATAAATGAGCCGTTTATGCCCAAGGAACTTTAATTTTAATTTAAATTGACTGAAATCTGCTGGGGAAGGCACTCCTGACAAGGGGAGTGGATGTATCTGAAGTTTGACTGAATGGCTGAATGTTGTTTTTCATTCAGCTGGAGCCACCGCCATTTCTTTATGGCCTTTTTAATAATGAAGAGCCTGCAGCCTTTGTAAGTGAGGGACTTTCTTTACCTCTCAGCCCCAGAGCCCCAAGACTCTTCTCCTCCTGCACGTAAACAGCTCTCATCGGGGGGGTGAGTGGCAGGGAGACCCCCCCTTGGCTGTAGCTGCTGCAGTGCTCTATCACCCCCTCTAACGCCCCTTTCATAAAATACAGCTCCTCTGACTCCTGTAGGAATGAGAAAAGAGTAAGTCAACTCGAACCTTGCACACTGGCAAACCTACTCTTGTATTTGAATACAGTATACAGTATGTGTCTCTGGTACAGTGTCTTAACAGCAGCACAGTGCATTTTCTACACTATGTGACTTCAAAATTTGCCTTGAATACAGGTGTCAGCTGTATAGTAATAGCACAGTACTAATGCATATGAATTGTAGTGGAAGGCATGTGCCTATTTCCTAAAACTGAGTGTGTGGCCGCCTACAAATCAAAATTACAGCAGTGTCACTACAAACGCCATTTATTAATTTTCCAGCAGTAACAAAATCAGTACGAATGATGAATGTAACATTAAGCAAATAACTGAACAGCCACCAGTGTCAGTATAAGACCTTAAGTATAACACAGAGTCTAAAGTAGACAAGTCATCAAGAAGCTTAATGTTTAGGATATAGGTACAGAAATAACATTGTTCAAAGTGCAGGTTGCTGTGTTCAAAGCACAATTTAGATCTAAAGTACTGTAGATCTTTCCTGTTTGGAAAGAGTGTATGAAATGTTGCTCATCCTGCTGTTTTTCATATCTAATTTAGAGGTGGGGGTAGTATATTTGTCATGCAAAGCAAAAGAGCGGGGAAATTATTTGCAAGTGGTAGTTTTAGAGATGCACTTGAACACAAAGCCCGAAAAAGCCAGTGCTCTGTGAACTGGGACAAAAGAGTGCTGGCAGTTCTGTGCCACAACACTGAGGAGGCAGCTCACCTGATTTTTGCTGGCACACCTAACGGCCATCCACCTCTGTTCAGAGCTAAAGGGCAACTCTTTTTTCCTGATATAGTCTTCTTTCACAGACTCTATCCCCATCTGCAAGACACCGGTTCACCAGATTACTATTCAAACAAAAGATTTGACTTTCAGCCACACTGAAACCGGGGCTCGGATATCATCCTAGAATTTCACAGCTTTATTTTTATTCCAAATAGGTACATAATACATTTCAATAAAGAAATGACAGTTCTGTAAGCCACGTGGGCATGTTTGTGTCTGTTCATTTGCATCTGGTTTTAGTGAGAAGAAGGCAACTCACTTTCATAGCCAGCGCAAGGAGAGCTCCTTCCGTGGGCTGCCCTATGAGAGCGCCCTCTTTCATCACAGCATTATTGCATATGCAGGCCGCCTGTGAACAAATTGTTTAAAAGACGTATTAAATTAAGCAAAAATTCTAAGTTTATCTCATAAGTTTAACAGCCTGGGGGAAGACGCTGTTATGAAACCAGGTGGTCTTGGTCTGTATACTGTAAAGGGATTAAAGGGTTAATAAAGTAATGTTATTATTATTATATAAGAAGCTGTTACAAAACCCGTGGTTTTGTCTGTACTGTATACTTCGGTATCGTTTCCCAGGTGGTAGTAGAGAGAGCAAGTTGTCTGCTACCATCTGGGAAACGGTACCGAAGTATACAGTACAGACAAAACCACGGGTTTCGTAACAGCTTCTTATATAATAATAATAACATCACTTTATTAACCCTTTAAAATTTCTTGCATTAGGAATTATCTTTTCGCATACCCCAGCTTGCTCTCCATGAGACACACAGACAGGGAGAGAAGCCTGGGGTCACAGCGCAGGGTCAGCCATTGTACGGCGCCCCTGGAGCAGTTGTGGTTAAGGGCCTTGCTCAGGAGCCCAACAGAGTAGGATTCCTCTGCCGGCTGCGGGATTTGAACCGGCAACCTTCCAGCCACAGGCGCAGATCCTTAGCCACAGAGCCACCGCTTCTTCCCCCAGGCATTAAGACTGCTAAACAGCCAACCACAGCAGACGCCTGCAGGTACCTCCTTGAACTGGCATGGTGCACCGGCGCCCTCCTGTCACTCGCACTCTCAGGACACATACGAAGAGCGCCAAATACCTCCTATCCTTGTGTTACTTTCGCACAATCTGACACAATTGCAATTTACAATACAATGTACATTTGTTGTATCCTATTTTTTTCTTTTCGTTAATCTAATCCCTATAAATTCCTGTCCTCCTACTCTTCTATCGCTCTTAACAAGCATCCTAACGCATCTCATTGCCGACAACACCGCTGTACGCTGTACTGTTCGTGCATTGATAAATAAGATGAACCCTGAACCCCGAAAATACGTATTCAATTTAGCAAGAATTCTTTCTAGATCGGCGATTCCGCTGATTTACATGCAGCTCGCCCGCCAGTATCGAGAAGTGGATTTTAGTTTTCTTGAATACACACCATTAAAGCCCCACTACGTGATTTACAGGATTTAGTCCCGGCACTTTGTCGCCCATGCACTGCAAAACTGCGAGCTCACCTGCACCAGTTTTCCTACAGAGGCTTTGTTAAAACCACTCACAAGCTCCCCGCTTGGCACGAGACAAACCTTCCCGTCTCCGTTATATCCTATTCCTGTTACCTGAGGAAAGACGCATATAACAGGAACAGGTTTTCCATATCTGAAGTGTGGCCCTAAACAAGCTTAAAGGAAAAGAGTTCAGGGGGTTATTTTAAAGATATTCTTTAGATATATAAACCCATGGGACAACACTGAAGCAATCATGAACATGTTCATAATGTACAGTTTCTTGGCCTTGAGTGTCATGTAGGGCCAGATGTATATGATAATGTAGAAATAGATATTTCTATCATCCATGCTGAAGTGATGACTATTTGGCAATTTCATTAACCTGAAGGTGTGCCGACTGAAACTAGGCAAAGAGAAGAGTAGAACAATGACATATCATTAATGAATCACAGCCTTCTTTGTGTTCTGGTTTCCTTTTCTTCCATCTGAATTTATATTTCCATCTGATGCTTTGCAAGCGTACTTTGACCCTGCCTTCAGTGAATGCTTTTTGTATTTAAAATGTCAAATGTAAAGAGTCTTTTTATAAACTTTTACAGTACAATTACTTTACTACATTCCATCAAATGTAGAGCTACTCTGTCTTTTTAAAACGATGGTATAAATGTGTGTTTGCGTTTGATTTTGGGGAGGAGTGTTACTAAGCAAACATAATATTGACTGCAGAGGCTGTCCTGTGCTCTTCTGTTTGTAAAAGGTAGGACAGTTACAGGGTGACTAAAATTTTACAGACCCCTATAACATACTGGTTAGGGGGCTTGTGATTCAGATGTATGGATTTAGTATCAGAAAACTGATAGGTTGTCCCTTGGAGGTCTTCATCTTAGAGGGCTTATAAATAAAACATTAGATTGATTTTTCTAACAGATGTATATGAGGAAGGTCATAACCTAATCTCGACTATTTCTGCTCTCTTATGTATATATCTTGCCTGCTCAGCTTCCATATGTCTATTTCTCTTACACCCTTGCTGTTATTTCATCTACACCTTCAAAGCAGCTCCCTGGCTCATTCCTTGCAATAGTGAGAATGGTCATTACGGTCAGGCTGTCGCAGCCAGAAGAGTTACACTAAATAAACCTCTAACACATTTCACCTCTATATCACAGCTCTCTAGGGACAACAACATCCAAGAATTGAATGCTTTGTGAACGTTTGGAATATTTGGTGAGATACGTTTGGCTTAACCTGCTTGGTTAATGGGCAGCCTCCTAGCCATAGGACGAGGAGGCTCCAACCCCATTCAGAGAGAAGTGAACCTACGTTCAAGGTGGAGATAGATTGCTTGAGACAAATGTGAAACGAAGTGTTTGTGTTTTGATACATACAGTTAAGTTCTATAATTATGGTGATTATTTACAGCTGTGTGTGGTTGACTGGTTGCTATCCCTTCCAAACTTCAATTTATAACTTCCAATTATTAGGAACAGTTATAGAACTACTTAATAGCTGTTGTGAGGATATAGGACAAATTGCATTCGTTATGCGAGGTCCTGCTATCACAGATTGTTGGTTGAAAAAAAGTCTAGGTTGTTAACAGCAAATTTATTCCAAGCCAGTGTATAGTTTCTGCAGAACAATATATTCAAACTTACCTCTGCATGCATTCCATCGGAAGTGAAAAGCCGGGTAACAGTCATTTCATTAGCTGTTAGGGTGCCAGTTTTATCAGAACAGATAACATTGCAGCAGCCTAGGAAAGTTGGATAAAAGATGAGGCAGATCTTTAGTGTATGGTAGCTTCTAACTTTTCTGATGGTCTTTGTAATCTCACATACAGTAGATGAGTCATGTTTTTAAAGACAGAATACCAAGTGTAACTGTCATAACTATGGTTACACTGAGTTCCCAATAGTAATCATACCATACAATACAGTGTTTAAATAAACTCATTTTAACACTACACTCACTATATACACCTGCTACCTAGGTAAAGCTAACTATACAGCACTCAGACCTAACAATTAAGGACAGAAGATCTAAGATTAAGTCGTGGTGGATGAAATCGCTTTTGCCCTGTATTGTTTTCGGCCCAAAGCTGGTGTTTCTACATGACTGTTTTGATTAGTCCACAGACACGGTGACAGGTGTGTTTCATCCGAAAAAGCTCTTCTCCTTCTTGGAAATGGAAGGTGTCTTCTGTGGCTTGGGAGGCTACCCTGAGACGGATCCGTTTTCAGACTGGCTGTATGGCATTAAGGATTTGTTCTCGGTCATTTGATTATCATACAGTGACATAATGGACATCTGGCATAGAAGACCTCCCAGGCACGACCTACTGAGAAGAAACCCCAGGACAGACTTAGGACACACTGGGATAGTACAGTATCTATCAGCTGTCCTGGGAACACCTGGGAATCGTCCAGGAGAAGCTGGAGACAGTTGCTAGGGAGGTGGAAGTCTGATCTACTCTTCTCAGCCTGTTACCATCACAACCCTCACCAGGGAAAAGAGGTTTGAAAACGAGGATGATGACAGTGAGTTTGGTTGTTTGTGTTTGACTTCCCCCTTTAAGGGGAACTGTAAACCCCTGTTATAGGATGCTGATTATTTCACCACAAGGCTTTTAAAATCAAGTTTAAAGTGTAAGATGTGCAGGTTTTTCTCCAATGTTTGAATGTTTCCTTCAAAACCCGCATGTAAGCAAGGAATAACCAAAGAGGATTGCCAGTGTCCGATCTCATCATATAGCTGGATCTTCTTATTGACCCAGTAGTCTCATTTATGGAAGACGCAGGGATTAAAAACTCTGACCTGAGCCGCTGTTGGTCCTTTACAAGCTTAAAGAAAAGACAAAGCTGATACGACACTCCCATTATGATAGCTATTTTATAAAAAAAGTGTTGATACTTTCAACAACACAGGCTACCTAATTTCTTAAATGACCATGTAATGGATGTAATGCATTGTTGGAACAGTGAAGTTGGATTATCTATCCATTAATTCATTACAGATGACGACAACGTGGAATAAGTGACATAGGGTATTGTCAGTAAGCCCACAGGGAGTAACATGTCTGTGAGCTGCAATGACATCTTGAAGAGGACATGGTATACATTACACAAGATTGAAAACGCCTGCTGTCCAATCCCATCCCTGACGACTTGAAAGCTGACCTTCAGCTCAGTTTAGGATGAAGGAGACAGGGAAGGGGAGTGAACTGCACTTTTCACCATTTTCCAGTAGGACTTCATTATTAACTAAATTAATAATAAAGTCATTCAAAGAATTAAATCCAAAAGATCTTGTGGACTTTCACTAATCTGTATATTTAGGAAAATGTACCAGAATCAATCTAACAATGTTTACTGTGAGTCAACTTTTACTCTCACCCAGAGTTTCCACAATTGGCAGCTTCTTCACAATTACTTTCTTCTTAGCCATTCGCATCACTCCTAGTGCTAGCGTCACTGTGACGACAATGGGAAGGCCTTCTGGGATAGCTGCAACTGCCAGACTTTGACAACAAAGACAAATGTGAATAAATCAATTTATATGACCTGCTACTTTCTAGTGACATTATTAAGTCAGTTACATTATCCGATTATTTTCTGATTAACATCTTTAAATTAAGAAAAGCAGCTGTAACTCAGCTAAGAAATTACATTGTAAATATCTTGTACATTTTTCTGTAGTACCAGTTCTAATATAGGAGATTAATACCCTCATAAAAAAGTTGTTGTTTTTTAGTCTGAGAACATACAATTGATTGCTCAGGTTCCACACAAGAGAAAACTATGTGGAAGTGCATTTTAAACTGTGGATTTGAAGCATCTAAAGTCAAAAGTCATTCAGAAATGACTGAATGAATTCCTTGGATCAAATGCTAACTACCAAACAACTGGCCCCTTCTCTTTTGTAATTCATGTTCTTTTTATGTCCTTATATACACCTACTTTGACTACAGAAGACAGCAGAGTTAGTTCCTAGAAGCTGTTACAGAAATATTGGCTGACAGTTGAAAACTGTTTTTCTGTGTGGGGTGCAGTAAAACCGGGGTAGAAGGCAAGCACACCCAATAATGGCTCCCCTAGTTCCCCACCTGACTCCGATGGTGAAGATGTTGAGCAGGGGCTTCCCTTGCACCCATCCAATAAGCATGATGATGCCTTAAAAGAACCCAAGGAAGGAGGTAGTCCTCATGAGTGTTAACAGCAATACTAAAGCAAAATATTCAATGTGAACATGCGATTCATTCTGGTCACATTTTGCAGCAGAGAATCTAACATTTAGGCACTTTTATCCTAATTTAAATCTTCTGATAAGATCGTTTCTTACTACTTGCCATTACAATTAGCTAACACAGTAGCTAGCTTTGCTCATGAATCAGGATGTGTTGAAAAGCATTCACACTAAATGTATTACACTATGAAGGGCCTATTTTTGTTTTATTCTGCCTTGTTGTGGGAGAACAGAGCAGTCCACCATTCTGTGAACTTAAACATAGAGTAAGAAAGGAAGTAAGGAAAGTCATTATCTAAGTCCTGCATATTAATTGAGTACTTTGATTTGAATCTAGCTGTAATGTACTGTAAGTCCCAGTCTACAGCCTTCCAACTTTTCTTCGTAACCCACTAGTGTTGCTGTAGATCAATCGCATGAACAGAGGCTTCTTCTGCAGAGAGGTGCAGGTAGTACGTATAAATATGTTTATAAACTTAAGTGTGCCTGAGAGGACAGCATTGAATTACACCAATAAAGGTACATTTTCTGCAAGTCTTTCAGCCTCATCTATAGACTGAAATGATCTAATTGCAAACATTAGAAGGCAAAGTTTGAAACACAGCACTGAAATAGACAGAAACTAGAGTTATAAGGCAAATAAAATAATATAGGCTATGAAACACTTGTTTTGATATGAATTATAGCAATATATTGAAAATATGAGAAATATCCTGTTCATTTCAAAGTTACATTAAGAATGCATTTAACATGTGGTGCATTGTGCATTTGGTTTAAGTAGTAAAAACATACCAAAGGACCACGGATATGCTGAGCAATGAAATTTCACTTACCAATAATTCCAAACGAGAAGATGGACAGCTGTTTTCCAAGTGTGTCCATGTTTTTCTGGAGTGGGGTCTTTGGAGTCTGTGGAGTCACACAATGACATTGAGCCATTATGTCTGACAGGACAATGGAAATGAGACTCATTTGGGGGCTTTGTTTTTACATTTAAGTAAAGTTCATGGAGTATGAGCTGAAGTGCTTTAGGAAGCAGAACATTACAGGATACATGAAGAATTGCTGGCTTTGCTACTTGGCATCTGAATTTCAAGAGGTTGTCTTTTCTGTGCTTGTGTTTAAGGATAAGGATAAGAGAGCAGTGATCTCACCTCCTCCATCTGCATCAGTTTAAACACTTCGCCAAACTGAGATTTCTCTCCGGTGCTAATAACGAGTCCCTAATTAGACAAGACAGAAAGTGCAATCAATATAATAAAAAAATAACTGGCCTTAGATATTTTGTCACTCAAGTGTACTTGTTTAGGATCAAACTGATTATCTTGTCTACAGAATATATTTACTCAAGACAGATTAGCAATGCAACCTGTTTTAAATTAGAAAACAAATCTCACAGATGTCCTTCTTTCAAACCTTTGCCTTATGAGAGAAGGAGCATTCAAAAGTTGTTTTCAGTGAGCTATGGGTCATCTGCTGCCAGACTTATCTGGACTTATCATTCAGTCCAGGGGGTCCCCAAATCCTTAAATAATGTTGTACAAAGATATACAAATCAAATCAACAGTATTAATCAGTGGTGTGTTTTATTCCCATAATAGTATTTATCAATTAACCCCACCGAAAAACTTTCAGTGATAGTGTCTTTGGTATTAGCATGGTAATTACTAAGCTTCAATCTGCTTTGCTCCTTAAACCATAGGGAGATTCCTCCTGAAAGAATGAATTCAAAAGTTATCCACCAATGGACAAAACTATTCTACAGCCAAAACCCTGAAGCAGCTTGTAAGCATTTTAGAATACTCCATTTTGACGTGCTACATACTATACAGTAAATCAAACTACTGGAAAATAGTCAAAATAGACAAATTATTGACTTTTCATTTATGAATTTAATAGTTAAACATTGTAAAAGATAGCAAATGTTGCTAGATTTTGTAGTAGTTCAGAAATATTGTGTACAATTCTACCATAGTTATTCCATATCAGAAGAGGCTAGGTGACAAGACATTTGTATACCAAAAATGCAGAAGTAAACTTCAAACTGTGTTTGTAGGTTTGTATTGTGTCATTGAAGATGAATTTGCTCAAAATAACATGTCTGATTTCTGTAACAAACGAATACAATTTCAGAGGGTGTGTAGTAGATGAGAGTAGATGGCAGATCTCGAGGTGTTCCGGTACGTTTTCAAGAACGCCACACACACGGTGCACTCACCCGGCCCCTTCCATGACACACCAGTGTGCCCATGAAAGCGATGTTGGGGAGAGAGGTAGGCTCCTCACTCTCCGACAGGGTGCTGTCTGTCTTAATGCAGGGCTCCACCTCCCCTGTAAAATTGGACTCGTCCACGAGGAGATCAATAGCCTAAGGAGACAGCTAGATGTCAACACAGGCCATCCAGTCGTCCATTACCAAAACAACCTAGCGCCCTGCTTGTCCAGTTTTTAAGGCACTATATTTTGTGAAATCAGACCAATAGAGCAGAGATGACCATCCATGGATTTCCATGGAGTCAGAGAAAAACCTTCTGATCTTTACAGTATCCAAGGTCTAGAGCAGATAAAAACTTCCTCAGCTTAATGGGTCATAGCTGCCATTTGTTCAAGAACCTTACTGTTGATTTAGAGACCATAATATAGCTGCAGGAATGTGGATCTCCAGCAACAATACTGATCACCCCTAGGAGACTTCTCAAGTATTGGGCCAGTAATTGTTTAAGCCCATTTCAGCCTTGATTCTGCTGTGGAGCTCGTGATGCCAGGAGGAAAGAGAGGTTAATAGTCAGCAGATCATGAGGACAGATAAGCTTGGGACTGGCATGCCTTCTCTGTCCTGGGTTTATTTCAGGTTGGGGAACATTCAGTTTGCATGTTATCCCCATGTCTTTGGGATGGTTGGACCAGAAACCAGAAGACACTAGGCCCTCCTGGAATTGAGTGTGACACATCTGGACAAGGTTACGGGCTTCTCTTAATTGTTCCTCTAGGCGTGTGTGCGCTCTGGGGTAGACTTACAGTGACCCCCCTGTAGGGTCAGATGCAAGGGCTTTGGATTATACATGAATTGATGTTTTCTGTTAAGGCAAATACTTTTGCATAGATGCTTGGTTTAAATGGGTTACACCAACAGGTGTGTATACTGGTAAATTCAACTGGGAGTAATATTACCTGGAATGTAACATGGGACTCTGACATTGTTAAAAATTTGCACTCTTAGTTACATTTTTGGCAAGAGAACACGAGGAGTTAACTGCATATCGAATTTCCTCCCCAGTCAAATACACAAATGTCTTAGAAACATCTTATTTTTGTCTTTTATTCCAAGAAGATTGCAACAAAATCCTGAATATCTCATAACTCTTTGGAGAATGGAGAGTGAGGCCCCTGGTCTCATGTTCGCTGTTAACGTCACACACTTCATTTCCTTTCCCAGGCTGACCTTCACTAACACACATGGAGCTCTGACATTACGAAACCTAAGAGTACTGTACCTCAATGAGCCTGACGTCTGCTGGAACCCTGTCGCCAACAGACAAGCACACGAGGTCTCCAGGCACCAGCTCACGAGCCAGCCTTCTCTCCACTGTGCCATCTCGGACACTGTAATCAGAACAAAGCCCTCAGGGGCGGCTCAGCTCTGGAACTGCACAGAACACAACTGACCCACTTCTTTTCAGTTCAGGTTTGGTCGTTGGAGTTGCTACAAAGACACAGATGCCAAATTCCTACAGCACCAATTGTGGTACTCCACAATGCCTGCTTTCGTCATTCTGCTTGGACTCGGGTACTATTACCTAGAAGGAGGATGGGTCAGGAAATTTGGAAACATGATCTATGTTTCAAAGACAGAAAGCAGTCATATTAGGCCAGAGTCTGCAATATTATGATGGGGATGTACAGCCCAGATCCTGAAGGGCCAGTCAGTGTATCTGCAAGCTTTCTGGGTTTCTTTCAAGCTGGGAGAAGGGCTAGGAGTTGTTGAATTAGTCCAGTTAAGCCAATGATCAACAAATGGGCGGCCATTTAGAACTAGAAAACCTTGGCTTATGACCTAAGATGGGGCATTTTTGGCTTTCAATAAGCTAGAATGGACCTCAGGCAAAACCCGGTTTTTAGTTTGACTAAATTGAAAATTTAGAAACAAAAGCATGTTTTAGAGGAGTAGAGTAGTGTGATTTTATTATTGTACAATGCATGTTTTTTAAAATGCTGTTGTTTTGGATTTGTTTAGTCTCTCTGATATTATAAAGTAGTAGTTTATCACATGTTGGATTTGTTTTGTTGCGAAGGGTATGAAGCCATTCGTTTCCCAGCTATAAGTGGGCATTGCCACTTTGGAATAATGAATACACTAAATCAATATTTATTCTATAGTCTTTAGTGTGTTTCTTCTTCCTGGAGAATTTCACCTTCATTTCTTCTTCTGAAATACCCTTAGAAGGTAAATAATGGAGGTAAATAGCACTTCTGTTCCACAACAAACTCCACCCTTTTTAAAGCTCTAAGACTTTGCTTAGACTACAAAGAAGCATGTGGTAAATTTCTTCACCAGGTTTGCAAGTACTTCCCTGTTTAAGAATACAACACAAGTTACCCGTTACAGTACACATCATACATCTTAATAAATCTACTGTGTATTTTCAGTGTAACATATTCATGAAGGCAGTCACTTAGTCTGTTTGCTGTTCATGGAGCATTTTTTACAATTGATGTCATCGTTTTTAAAAAAAGTATGAAATTCAATCCAGAATTCTTGTAATGTTTGACGGATGCACTGTTAAAACAGGCGAAACGTGATGTAAAAAGTTATTTAAGCTACCTTGGACAAATTCTTGCAGATGCTGAACATAAATGTATCATGGAAGTTAAAAAGAGAGGTATGCACATGGATGTATTGAGAAACAAAACAGAAAAGTACTTATTTTAAGTTTCTATCAGTGCTCATACAGTATACTGTATATATCTTAAAGTGGAATAATAATTAATCAAATAGAAACGTGTGTGTCTGCCTCGGTCTAAATGTGTTGATGTGGCTACAGTGCAGCATCTTTAGGTTGCTTGGTTGGCTGGAGAATCTAAGGCACATGCCTCGTTAATTAATGAGGTCAGTCAATTAGTCACTCAGGGGGGCAACTTCCTGTCTTTAAAATAGCTGTTAAGGCAGCTTCATGTAACTTAGCTTCAACTCTGTTTAAGAAAAGACAAAGAGATGAGTCCAATTTGTTTTGTGTCTGGAAGTGTAATGTGTGAGAATTCTGTTTTTTTTGTGGCTTCATACGTTCATCTGCATGTTTTATTTTCTGCATTTTTGTTAATAAAATGCTCCATGATGATGATGTAGCCCCTAAGTTTTCCCTGCACTGACCCACACAGGGGGCAGCATGTCACAGTATCCCCCTATTCACAATCGTAACTCTTTTACGTAACAGCTCCAACCTTTGATAAAAAAAAAAATCAAACATACACATATGTAGAACACAGTGGTCCTAAAACATCCTCACTGTCTTTTCTTCACATGGCCTTTCTAGGTACAGCCATTCTCTGGAACAATGACCATTCTTTAAGCACAGCCTTCAGTGGGCAAAAATATATACTGTACCCTGTTTATCAGTGGTACCAGAATAAGTTTGAGGTTTGCTGCACATCTTCCTGCTTTCACCAAAAGCAAGATAAAACAGAAGGCCTTGTAAAAAAGCATATCTCTTGGAAAGAGAGACTTTCATTACTGGCCTCCACAATTTTTTTTGCAGAAGTAAAATTAGCCACATCGCTTAACCAATGTGATGACAGCAAGGTCACTAGAGCACTTTTGAGCAAATACACAGTGCAACACTAACAGGAAAGATGTCACAGTCGTACTCCTACTTAATGTATTTTCAATCTCCAATATCCAACTGTCCAATATCGCACTGAAACACGGTTGGACTTCACTGAAACATGCAGCACTGAAGCACAGATTTATTAGAAAATCTGTCAACTCCAAGACAAAAAATGTCTGTATTATACATCACAGTTCAGTTCTTGATGTATGCAGTCACTGTGGCTATGAATCAAAGCCTAATAACATCAGTTAAACTAGTGAACCACGGTAGTGGGGTTTTAAAAATGATTATACATTACTGCCCATATCCTAACCAGACGCTAAATTTACAAGTCCACCACCAGGTTTCAAGATGTTGGCTTGCATTTAATGCAGAGTGTGACTTTGGAGCTGCTGTATCAGGCATCACACATAACCATGAGAGAAATTCCAAGCAGTCTTCAATTGCACGAAGGTCTGAAGAATGCCATTCCTCCAGCACTTCGAGTCCTTTGGAGATTGGCTCTGCACCACCTGCAAAGTAATTGACTGCATAACGCTAAATAGTTTTGTAGTCCCACTGTGTGCAATATAAAAGAAACATCACAGCGTTCCATTATCGTTTACATACCAGTTACATTCAGGGGGAACCAGCTTGTTCAATTCCTCTAGTGACTTCTCGGAACGGTACTCCTGTATTGAGGCAAAAGTGAAACGGAAAATAAAAACGTTGAGATCAGAATACTGGGGTTAACCCATTCTTGGCATTCGTGCCAGTAGACTGATTGAAAAAATGTGAAAGTTACTTGCCTGTAGAAATGCCACCGTGACCACGATGAGGACAGCCTGTTGTGGAAATAAAACACATTCTTCACTTCACTTGAATGATTTTTAAATTAATGCCCAAAAGTGAAACATGCTCTCTGAAAGAGAACATAAAAGGTGACAGCTTTGCTTGCTGTTAGATTAAAAAAAAATAATTACATCACCTACCAATTATGGGTACATATAACACACCGAAGAGGAATGATTTTGCATATCAGAACTTAACAGATTTTGAATCCCTACAAGATCTTGTATACAGTACCTACAAGATTTTGTATACCTACAAGAGATTCACGTCACTCCTGGGATGTAGTTTCATGGGGCATTTTCAGTGGACACAAGTGTGGGGTGCCACATGAAATCCTTAAACACAAAAAAGCTATTTTCTAGAATGAAAGGCATGGTTTTCCATCTTCTAAAGTCACAGGAAATTAGTGAAAACATTAGTTTGTTGTCTGAGAGTAATACAAGAAAACGCAGTTCCTACAATCCACACTTATCCAACCCAATTTTCTAGGTTTTCATTAGTAATTACTTTTCACAATGTCTGAGCATTTCTTTTTCACTTGGAAGTTGTGCTTTACAATGTGTAAAGAAAGGTAAAATAAACTCAAATATCATGTGACTTGATTTTAGACCTCAAAATGTGTTACATCGGAAAGGGTGTGTAAACTTTTAATAGGCCCTGCATGTATGGGAGACTCTTGAGAGACATGAGTAAAGAGGCTAGTTTGTGTCAAGGCCAGCTGTGACTGGGATATTCAAGTGGAGGCAGTGAGGCTGTGTGGGCTTCAGCTAGAGTATTGTGCAGCACCAAGCCTGGTGACTCGCTAGGTGCCTGCGGGCTCACTGCGTTATCAGTGAGAACCACATTATTCATCGAATCACTGCAAACTGTCAACCTCACAGTGTGAGAAATAGCCGATGCCCTGACAGTGTGTCCTTTAAAGGAAGGCGTGCACATTCCCCATCCTTCCCTTGGTAGTTACTGTACTCAGTTAATATGCAGAATTAAGATATTTAAATTCATGTTAACTCCTGCCTTTTCATTTACATGACAGTAAGCTGCACAAACACTTTTTATTTCTGAAGAAAACCGTTTAAAATTCCACCTTTTAATTTTTTCTCACACTCCCAGTGTAGTGCTGGAACATGAAATCTAGAGATAATTGCTTTTCCTAAAGCATGACACAAACTTGCATTCCACTGCCAGTGACTACAGCTCCCATGTTAGAATTATAAAGCATGTTCTGAGAACTGCAAGCCTGCAGGTCCCTGGGAAGTCACAGGAATCGCTCTTTCAAAACAGAGTCAAAGGAACCCTGACTGTTCACTCTGAACCTCCTCCTGCAGTGCTCAGCCAATTTGTGTACCAGAACTTCCACTCTGTCGCCCCAGTTTGATGAGGGGGGATGCTGTGTTGTAGAAATGGGCATGGTTCCAGGAATGTTTTAAACCAAGGCTGTATCCAAGATCCTAAAGTCCTTATCACAAGTGTGCAAATCCCAATCCGGCACCTCAATTGTGTCAGCATCCACTGAATACCATCTAGCACAGCTTAGGTATTGCTGTGGCCATCCAAGATCTGGCCTTACAGATTTGGAATACAGTATGTGGTTTGTACTGTGGCCATCAGCTGACCTTTAGCTAGGACTGAAAGATAATTTACATTTTATTAGTTGCCTTTGTGAAATACAGAACATCTTTTATGCTGCTTTTGATATGAGCACACAAACACAAATGCATTATCTACCTTACCACAGCTATGCTGACAGCATCTTCGTACTCCCTGGTAATGATGCTAACTCCAGCAGAGCCCAGCAACAGGAGAATCAGAGGGTTCTTAAACTACAGATAGAAAAAGCACAGTGAGTCACAGGGGAAAACAGGCCACTCGGTCTGACAGGATAATATTTCCTATTGTATAAAGCCTTCTTTCAAAACTGAAATGAAACAAATGTGTTGCTATAATCTGGGGCTAATGCAGTGGGTGTGACTCTTTCTGTGTGGATCATTTACTATTTCGTAGATCTTTTTTGTTGAGCCAACCCCTTTTGTTCTCTACTCTGAATGTTTCAATTTGAAAGTAAGAACAGAGCAAGAGCAAACCAAGCTTTTAATCCCACAACGTACCAGAAGTCGAAATGCATACATTAAGTTGTCAAGTAATGCTAAAACTAAAAAATCCAAAAATATCATAAAAATGTATTCCTGTCATGCAACTAAAGATTACAGTTTATTTATAGGTCTTTAGCAATGTTGATGCTACTGTTGTCACAGCTGTGCGTTGGTATTGCTGCTTCACACAGACTGTCACAGACTGTTACATTCTTTAGCAGATTTGTTAATAGGTGATGTTTGTGTCAGTGAAGTAGGTGTGTAATGCTTCTGGATATGAAATGCTTCCAACTTCTGCTTTGAATGAACAATGATTTTGGAGTGTGCTTTAATTATCCTTGTGTTAGGCTTGTCCCGGTTGCTGCTCTGTGGGCAAGGCAGCATTGGCTTGGCAGGGGGCCTCTACTCCACCCACCTGTCACTCATTGTCAGTTGCCATGGACACGAAATGACAGGAGACCCAGATCACCTGGAGGCAAGTACCATCCCACCTGTCCAGGTGATTCAGGGATATTTAAGGCCTCAGACTGTGCCTGTGGCTCCGATATTGTGTTTGTACTCTGAGCTCATCCTTGTTACCCCTAGCTTTGCCTTTGCCTTTGCCTTTTTCCTGTTTCCCTATTATTGCCTCTCTTGGATTCCTGACCTGTACTTTGTTTTCTGACTTTGTCCCTGGATGCCCCTTTGACTTGTGCTCTACAGCTTTTACTTATTCAGAACCTGCTTGTCTTCACTACATTGTCTCCTGGATGTGCCCGTCTGTTCTATCGTGTTTCCTGGAGCTGACCCTCGCTTGCTTTGACCAAGCCTCTTGGATCTCCCCTCAGTGCTTTAGACCGTGTTTGTGTCTCACATGCTCCACCGTGGACCTGGATGTGCAGCTCTGCTGCCTCACGAGTCCCTAACTGACCGCAGCACCACGTCTGCCTGTGTGCACGGCTCACTCCGCTGGCCTGTCAGCAAGCAGCCTGCAGCTCGTCTCCAGTGTGCGCTCTCCCTGCTCAGCCCAGTAACTGTAAACGCACAGCCCTGCCAAGCTGTTCCCTGTCAGTTCACTGCCTGCAGATTTCCCCTGGCTCTCATCTGTCTCTCGCACAGCAAGCCGGGTCTTCTAATCACCTGCTGCTTGTCCCACCAAGCAGTGAGATCGTCACACGTTGGCTTTAAGAAACCTGTCCAGGAGCCTTTTATACTTGATCAATTAATTCACTCCGGGCAAAACATGTTTCAGTAGTGTTTAATATACTACCATATTCTTTATATATATATAACTTCTTGTGTATGCTGCAGTATCAAATACACCATTTAGAGCTAAAACCTTAGGAAATATTAATTTACTATGGGGAGGTAAATCACAGCTGCAGTTTTAAAAATTGTAAATATAGTTTTCATAAAGCTTCATCAGTACTGGAAAAAAGACAACCACAGTAATCTAGATCAGTCATTTTCAGGAATTAAAGCCTTCAATATTACTGCGTTCCTGGAACTATTGTCTACTACCACGTACAGATTGAAGACATGTTTCTGGTTTATCAGGTTTTGAAATGACAACATGAAACCCTTTCCTTTGTTATTTTTTTTCTCATTCTTTTAGTATATTGCAACCTACTCAATTGTTCAGTTCTGTACCAGATTTAATTTTTCAAGCTTACAGACAACGCAGTGTCTGGTTATTTTTTATGGCATGGATATCATTTATTAAATTCTATTTTTACCTCAGCATGCACAGTGTTGGTTAATGTCCAGTGATTTTTCATCTTCCTATTCAGCATGGAATTAATGCCTGATTTTTCCCTATAATGGTATTTTAGACAAAGATACATACTGGCATGCAATCTTAGAAAACTATATTCAGTGCATTCTTTTTGGATGCCTGCAAATCACCTTTGAATAAATACACCTGATTTTTAAGTCACTTAGCGGAACAGAGAGTTTCATTCAAAATACAAATCTGTACAATAGTCCTTGTCAGGATTTGACAATATCATCCCAAAATATTCCCAAAAGTGTCAGCTTCAATGAAATATCTTTGTCCATTTTATTTTATGAATTACACTGTTTACATTTCAGTGTTTCAGGCTGACAAGTTAGGGAAATTAATTAATATCATAAATATCTCGACTGATCAACTAAATCCTCATATTCTGCCACGTTCTTCTTCTGTTTCTAGTGTGCTATTGTTTTTATACTTGCAGATACAGTGGTCTGTTTCAAAGTTTCCAGAAACACGCACCTGGCTCAGGTATTTCATCCAAACTGGCATCTTGCTCTCCCCATTGAATTCATTCCAGCCATAGTGCTGTCTCCTCTGAAGAACACAGGACTCGGACAGACCTTTCTCTATATCCACCTGAAAAGACACAGTCAGAGCTTGAGCATAGAGCAGGACATTTTCCCATTTGTACCTCTGATTTTGTTTTCGCTTGTCTCTTTCCTGCAAAGAGGCTTACATGGGCTAGCTCATAATGCATGAGGCTGTTGTGGGAAATTCTTCATCAGAGGAGCAGGACACAGTCTTGTGCAGATTCAGTTTTATTGAGCTCAATAAATCTGACAATGCGCACCGGGTCTGCCCCACAGAACAAACAAACTGCAAAGGTTTTCCAGCTCTTATATACAGTCAGAAGAAAGTTTGTTTCACAATCTGAGTGCTTGTCCTGTTCTTTGATATGTAATTACTTCTTGTCCTACTCTGTCTTCCTCTAAGTTCTGTCCTTCGATATTCAGCAGACATTGGTCTGTTTTACCCTGTTTGTGGGTGTTGTTCCTGTCTTTTATTATGTAGCGTTAAGCCACTGTGGCTGATAAAGCAAGTCAGCTTTATGGCATCTTAGTGGAACTTTTGTTTGAGGCTAAATTAACACACCCCATCAACACCTCTCCCAATGCGCTTGTGGTGATACCGTGATGCTGGATAAGTGAGATACATACATATCCCACTTCATTGCCGACTTCTCTGCTCATGGCCAGAACACTGTTCGCATTTCCTGGGCTGATGCCATTGAAACCATGAGTTACCGTGCCCTGTTTCCTCCAGTCACATCTGCTGTGTTTGCTAAGGGAGGGTGGATCCACACCGGATTTAATCCAATCCAAAGGAGGCATTGCATTCAAAGTTTCATTAATGCTCCAGAAAAAGGAAACATTTTCTATAATCTTTTCAGAAACTATCCTTCTAGGAAGTCAGGTTTCTCATTGTTCTATCCCTCTTTTTACATTGACAGTCTGGAAATGGCACTCGTAATTTTACTCCCTGGCCTTCACTGTTTCAGTCAATGTATATTCATTTTTGTAACACCTCATGTTAAGCATGATAAAGTACTTAACATAGTCAGGAGGCACACAGTATTTAAGGGGCAGCATGAAATTGTGGTGAGGACTCTGGACAGGATGGTCATGGGTTCACATCTCAGGTGGGACACTGCTGTTATACCCTTGAGTAATGTTCCTCACTTACACACAGAACAGTAGCCCTGCTGTATAAATGAGTTCACAGGTCATCGCTGTAAATGAGAATTTGTTCTCAGTTGATTTAGGATTTTAAAAAAACAGAACAGAGTACTGGAGGAAACCAATAATAACATAAATTTAGGTTATAATTAAAAAGTAATACAAAAAGTGGTCAGAATAGAAGCATTAGATATCACAATTACCACAGACGATACTCCTTTTTTGAGAGATGTGCACTTCACAATTCTATGCAACACCTTCTTGGAAACGTACAAAATTTTAAGACATTTAAAAAATAGTGACACAATTTCTACTCCCCATCATGTTAAAACATGAGGGCTATGTTTCATTAGATCCACACCAGAGAATCATTTTCCAGAAGATGGTCAGATACATGTAAATTAATTTGTTACTGTGTAGTACAGTATTATCTGTATTCAACCACAGCTCTGATAACTAGCAGTAAAGGAGCTCCCTATCAGAGAAATGATAAGAGTTCTTTGTAATTACTAGCTGGTTTTAAAACATGCCTCTGCTCTGCTTCCGCCAGCCTGTCTCCCTGTGGTGTAATTCAATCCTGCAGAGGTTCTGTCAAGTCTGTCCAAGTCTGAATCATTCCAGGACCAACAAAGATGTTTCCACACCAAGAAACAAGCAAGATTACCTTGCCGCCCCTTTCTGGTTTTTAATATGAATTGAAGCTTCCACCCTAAATAAACTAAACACGTGAAGTTTTACCAATGATCAGTGAGATCCCTGTTTATCTAGCTGAACACTGCAGCAAGATACAGCCCAGTAATGGAGACACAGGGCACAAGGCAGGGCTAAGAGCACTTCTGACTGTTTTCCCTCTGAAAGGAATATCAGTCCGTTGCAGGGCCACAGAGCAAAGGGACGACTGAGAGTAACCCTCAAACCCAGCCAGCATGTATTTAAAGGTGGAAGGAACCTGAAAGACCTGGTGAAGCCTCACTGACGCACAGGGAGAACGAGCAAGCTCCACAGAGACAGATACCCAGGGCTGTGGAGCAGTGACGCAACAGTGCTAACCACCCCTGCCCTGCACCTGGGCCATCCCAGCGTATGAAGCTGTAGCTTTGCTCCCCAGGACAGAACCTCAGTCTGCATCATCACAACCTTGTTGTATGGTGTGACGTGGCAGTGAACCACACCAGCGACGTTGGTACATCGTGCTTTTAAAACTGGTCGACCTCGTGCATTATTAAAGGTGTTCATTTCAATGAAAGCACTTACTACTTACTGCTGAAAAGGCCTTGAATGCTGCTGCAAAGTGAGGGCGAAACATCACAGGTCACAGGGCAATCAGATAAACTGTAACAATGGTGGATGCGGACCACTATGTACCCAGGCCATCTGCACATTAAGGGCACAGCAAAGGAGCTTTATAATCTGTCCGTCAGTAGCTCTCGTGCGTCCCATTTGTACTCTCCTGCAGTTTTGCCTTTTCACTCTCGTGTTATTTAGCATACCTGCAAATCCTTGGCCAGCTTCCCCGCGTCGCTGAGGCTGGCATCTTTCACAGAGACGGTGCAGAAGGAATCCTCTTTTCCAGACACGCACAGCTTAAAGGCATCTCCATTCTCCTTGCGATTGGAAGAAGAACGCAGAGCGTGTCAGAAGGGCAATAAGGTTAACGTTGCAGTCTACGCACCAGACGTCTGCGTCTTGTCTTGCTCGTCGCCTCATCGTTGGGCCGATTGTACTGATGATACAGCAAAAACTTTCTGATTCATCAAAGCATCCTTACACTATTCAGTGTTTTCAATGAATTCATATCTATTATTGTTTATAGATTTTATACATATTATTCATATATTATATATGTTATTGATGAGACATTATTTATATCTCATCAACGGGTATAATTGATGGTTGTTTGAGATGCATGGTACAATTACTATCAGTATGTCAAAAACTGATTTTATCCATCAATCCATTTTTAACCGTTTTATCCAATACAGAGCAGCAGGGGAGCTGGAGCCTAGCCTGGCAAGCAATGCGCACAAGGCAATACATCAGGACATATCCTGTCCTGCGTGGGACACCTACAGTATCCATTTCAGGGCACAAACACACTCACACCAGGGCCAATCTTCCCAGGAGCCAATTAACCTACTGGTATGGTTTTGGACAGTAGGGGAAACTGGAGCACCTGGAGGAAACCCACACAAACACAGGGGAGATCATACAAACTCCACACACACAACTCCCCAGGATTTGAACCCAGGGCCCCAGCACTGCCAGACAGCAATAACTGCATTCATCTCATTCAGGTTTCAAGCTCCGTAGAAATAAGGTTCAGTCTTGAAAAGAAGGTTAAGTCCAAGGCATACAGTATACTGTAGCTAAATCATGCGTGTTCTGCAGAAGTTTATGACCATAGCATTGCAAGACACTTGGAAACTGAAAATGATACAGCAGATCTGAAGAAAAAAATATTCGTATACACTTCACATAGTTCTTCCACTTTCATTTCCCCCGTCTGTGAAATGATGTCTCCGTACAATTGATTGATTAATGTCAAATCTAACAATGCAGGGTACACACTGAGGCTGAAACAATTTAACACGTTTGCTTAAACGTTAATTCGTATTTTTATTAAGTCTGTTAATAGGGATTTGAGTTGAACATACAGTACGTTCAGTGTTAATTTCCTTGTTCACACGTCTTGTAGAAGTGCAACTTCCTCGCCGTGTCGAAGGTTTCCTCCACTGTGGTTACTCAGTTTTAATACAGCACAAGCTATTCGGTAGTAACAACAAGCTAATCAAATATTAACATTTGTATAGGGTCGCGCTAGGCGACGGTGCACCAGTCTTGATCGTCTTACCGTCTGCTCTGTCGCCTCTTGGCTGAGCCGTTTGTACTTATGATGCGGTAAAAACATCTGAAACTTTCCGAAGAAATTATTCCAGGTCATGCTGCACCCTGTTGCTGGTGTTACAGTAGTCAGTTAACTGTGGTAAATACAGCGCATTCAGTATATCTGGAAGATGCTGTACTCCAGGTGAGACTCCGGTAATGTAGTGCCAGACGCCCATTAAATCTTACCTGTAAGAACCGGAGCTAAGATTCAGCCCACGGAGGCGGCGCTACTTCATAGCTTTAGGCAATATGTTATCTCATTTCTACGGTTTGTTACGAACCGAATGTCCGGTTTCTTCATTTGTTTTCGAAATAACAAAATAATGGGAATACAATTAGTACAAGTGGATGATGATGATTATAATGTTTGTCTGTGGTGAAACTTTATAATGATAATTCTTGCGTCCACACGCACTTTGCACCACTAGAGATATCAAGATACTTTACATAAGAGAGAGACCCACCTGCGTGTGACACACCGCAATACTCCTGCATCAGCAGCCCCACTGCACAGCAGATCTGGAGCGGAGCGGAGAAAAGTCTTTAATTCCAGTTAAAATAAGGAAGAACTTTAGGAAATGTTCGTGTTTGTTCCACTTCTTCAATCGCATATTTTAGAAAGTTTTTTGTGCGTGTGTATAATAACTGACATTACTGCCATCTACTGTACAGTAATTGCTAAAATCACGTAAATGCTCATCTCCCCCAATCACGAACAATTATACGGTATCAACAATAGTTGTAATAATTGTAGGACACACCCGTCAATACTTACTTTGAATATTTAATTAAACGAATTTTAACGGATGTGTTTAATTCATTTTAAATGACAAAACGAGGTTGTGCATTCTGCTGTTCAACTATAAAAGGCATACACTTGTAAACACCCACTTATTTAAACAGCACTGGATTTTGGTATTTGGCAGCGAACATTTTTTCTTTGAAATGGTGCGCCCCCTAGTGACGTGCCAAGGGCGCTTCGCTACCACTGCACCTCACACGTCTGTGAATTCATGTTCTATCCGCTTCATCCAACACAGCCTATCCCGGCAGGCAACGGGCGCAAGGCGGGACACCTATCCCGACAAGCAACGGGCGCAAGGCGGGACACACCTGGAGGTGTGCTCCATCACAAGACACACATGCACACGCACACCATGGCTAATTTCCCCAGAAGCCAATTAACCTACCGGCGTGTTTTTGGACCGTGGGAACCCCACGCGAACACGGAGAGGACATACAAACCCCACACATACAGCACATCCAGGGTTTAAATGTGTGTGATCTGTGGTGTTCAGCAGTGCTGTTCTGTCTTCAGGCTGGCTGCTGTTGGTCTGGCACAGGGCAGTGAGCTTCAGGACCAGCTAGCTGACACGACTCTTCTCTCGTCTCAGCAGGAGTTTGGTTTTTACTGGTTTTTAACCCATATTTAGCGAATATTTTACTGCTCTCTTCTCTGTGTTGAGTAGCAGAGGGGACTAGGCTAATGTATCCCTGATTTTACGGATTACATCGACTGCTGAAAGTATCGGGATATTTATTTTAAAATATGCCAAATTTGCATCAAGGGAAAAGGGTTTCACTACCGAAGACATTTGCTGTATATAAATGATGGAGTGAGTTGAGTAAATGACCACAAGAGAGCGCTATAACTTTAAAAACAAGAACATCCTTACCAAAAAATCATCCATCTCTCACCTGGAGCGGTTTGGAGTTGCGTGATTTTGGCAGTACTAGATAAAAACAGATAATTACACTGGTATGGCATTGTCGAAGTAAGAAAAATAAATTTAAATAGATCCTTTTAAACCTCTTCTTGAGAAAACTGGAGCGAGACTGTGATGCAGTACAAACAAATTAAAAGAAGGCCAGTAGAAAGGACCACAATTCTGGCCAAAACGGGGATGTTTTAACACATCTAAAACATTCTAAAAGGTACTCGTGTGTCTTTTATACTTTAGATTTTTAAAGGATCTGGAGCCTTTATTATCCTGTGGTCTAGGTAAGATCTTCTGTTGCGGAAAGAAGTTTACAAAATAACAAAAACGTATTACAATTCCTCTATATTGCACGTTATATCATTCTCTCAGTAGCAGGCCTGTATCGGTAACTTGGCATGTTTTTAACTCACTTCTTCATTTTCTCACTCACTAAAGCAAAAATGCGCCCAAGGAAGGCGCTTTCTGGGGTATCAAGGCACAAACGTGGGTGGCAGGGTTCAAGGTAACAGTTTCAGAAACGATAAACCTTGAAATCAAACTTTCAAGAGCAGGCAACTTCCAGTTGGTCCCTTCTGTCCACAGCAGAGTAAATAAACGGATCGTGTTAGCCCTTCCGTGTTTTATATTCTAATGACAGCATTGTTTTAAACTATCCTTTTCATTTCGAACTGCGTTGAAAACTTCCTACATTTTTCCTTCATATAAGACCGTTTTTTTTACACGCATTACAAATTGTCCTATTTTCCTTTTTAAAAAACGGAGGAAAAAAAACTCAATTTCTCCCTGGAAAAAAATATGTGGTTCCAGGCTATATTATTACTGCTTTAAACATTATCAACACACCTGCCATATTGATACTTTGTACTCTTGCACTCTGTACGATTAGTAACGAATTGACGAGACGAATATTGTTCTTGTGTTGCGTGCTTTGCATAACTCCAGCGGCACCAGGTGCCAGTTTCAATTTCTGCTCGCCAGTGACCACACATGACAAAACTGCCCGAGCTCGGCCGAAGCTCTGGCGGGCAACGACTTGCTTGAGACCCGAGTGTTACAAGGCGACCCACCTCGAACTTCGGTAATTTGGCAACAGACACTCGGTAAAAAGGGTTATTCGGTTTGATCTGAAACATGCATGTGAGGGGGTCTCGGCAGCATCGATACAAACTTTGCATAGATATAATCCTTACTTCCGGATCTTCTCACACTCTTTATTACTTTTAACTTCCTCGTACATTGAGAATTGAGGAACTGACCAGCCTACAAGCCAGCGTTCTCCGTTATTTTTTTCGGTTTTACATCTGTTGTAAGCATGAAATAGCTGCCACAACAGCCTCGTGTAACTGGTGGAAATCGCCTTCCCAAACGAAGGTAAGCTTCACTTGAATTTAGAGGGTGATCTGTATACTTTCATGGTTGTTTGCAAGGTGAGGGGGAAAATGTCTGGGTCGCGGAAGGCGCGGTGGTCCACGTCTGTTTGCATTATTCGGGGATGTGGGGGGCATCTGTATTTTTTATGGTTGTCTGAGCTGCTGATTTTGGATTTTGCGGGTGTAGGGTTTTAGCAGTGGTGTACCTTGATTTAGCCGAAGTTTAATTTTGCGAAGTTTAAAGAGCACTGCAGTCGGTTTCTTCGCCTTGTCTGTACAGCAGGGACGTTGTACGACTATTTAAGGATGAAAAAGAATTCTAATTATAAACCACAAAATACATTTCGTGGTGTATCAGCCTTACTAGATGTTGTAACACATTTTGCAGCATATATATGACGGAAGTATTGGTTCTTTCTATCTCTCCACTAGTAATATTCACCGTGATGAATAACTTAACGAGACGGAGGGTATCAGCACACGTCTCTGTAGTTGGGTATATATGGTATCATGCAATACACACTCATACATTGGTAATCTAAACGTTGGCGGTTCGAATAAACCTTTAAAACAAGATTTAGGGAAATATTTATGGATTTGCATCGCTGCTCAGGAGACGGTGTTGGGTGATTTAAATGTGATGGGCCAGGGTAATGCTATCCATTGAAATGACAGTTCTGAGTGTACTGTACGTACTGTCCTTAAGTCATGTAGTGATACGAGGACAGAGCAGAGCCGATATAAAATGTCCAGAACAGAAATTTCCACAAACACCTGTCCTGGTAACGCATCTGCAGTGAATTAATGGAATGGTTAGGAAGGCACAAAACTGGGTTCTTGCACATTGACTATGGTCCTTGCAGATGCGCTCCTGCAGTTTCAGCGATATTTGAAATACAGGATCTTTCCACCCGCTGCTCAGGGCCATGTTGGTGGCCGAAAGGGGGGCAGTTGCGAGGGTGCGCCTCTTTTCCAGTTCGGCATTCATCCTGGCCCCCCCAGAGTGCCTTCCCGATTCAGATATACAATACGACCTAGTGTAGGGTCTCCAGCTTGTTCTCTCGTTGTCCTCTAACCCAGTTGCACAAATAACGCGCTTCGTTCTTACGCCATAGCAAACAGGGCGAGCGAGAAATGGCACGTGTCGAGAAGACTCCGTTTGACGGAGAAGAATCCAATGCGACAGCAGTTTTGTGCAAAATCCGGATTAGAAGATATCCGTAAAAAGGAAATCGTTTTAGTGAGGAGGCAAACGCTGCACTAGCACAAGAATAAGGTCATAGATTAGGGCATTCAGCTCATTTTGTTGGATTGATTGATATTACTGATACTAGAGTGTGTTAGCACCTGAAAAGAGCGAGGGAGCGTCAGTGGTATTATGTTGTATTTTGCGGTGTTCGAAAAATGTCATAAAACCCAAAAACTCATTATAAACCTATTAATTTTATTATTGTCAAACATAATCGTAGTGGAATCCAACAGTGTTTTAGAAAAACCTTTCATTCTGTGGTGACTGTATATATCTGTATTTGTTACTTTGACGACAGAAATGTTCACGTAGGAAACAAAATACAGATATATAGTTGTATTAACTAATTAGGCATTGATTTAAAAAAATCAACTGATAGTCGGGCTCAGCCACAAACGTTGTTTTCGGAGAGCGGGTCTGCCTCACTGGAGCTAGTCTATGTGTCCTGTAACCCTACAAGGTCCCCTGCAAGTTGGAAAACTCGGCAAATGCAGCGCTCTACTTTCTCCAAGGGCCCGGCTCTGGCACTGCGTGCGAGTGCTGATTGCAATAGAAGAGCTAACACAAGCAACGCAGCTGTTACACTGTAACTCACAAGGGCTTCCTGTTACAACATAAAAGAAAATTCAACACGGTAATGCTGTCCGTTTGGCTGTTGTGTTGTGCGATGATGTTTTCCATTGAATAACGTCTATTTTATTTATTTTTTTAATCGCTGTACTTTTTCTGTTTATATTTTAATGGCACGTCGCGTTATAATTGTACAGTTCTCAAGTACTGCTAATGTGTATTTGATTCTACTAATACACGGTAAACATGATCCAACAATTTCTTCAACTGGAACACTTCTTGCTGCCCGCGCCTTCAGCCTAACGAGCTCTTGTCAATTCTGACATCTGAACTCTTTTCAGCTGTGTTGTTGTTCATTACTGTAGCACAGAGGCCACTTTCTGATATCAAGACAATATGGCCTTTTGATTTCTTATTCAAAAGACAAAGAA